CAATCGCTCTCTTCCTCTTTATGGCAAGCCTGGAGCTGCCCTTGTGTGGCTGATCAGGTACGGCTCCGATTCCCCGGGTTCCTGGAGCAGAACGGATTCAGCAGCACCGCAGCTGCTTTGCGGTGATGGATGGCAATGATTATAACTGTTAATCTGATTAAGCCCATGCTCTCAACTTTTGCTCATTTTTCTGACTTTGAAGATACTTAAAGAAATATTTGAGGAGCAGCACGAGAAGATGGATGAAGCACCTSCTTCCGTGCACCTCTCAGAATTGATCCTAGGGCATGGTGTGGTGCAAGGTGATGTGAGTTTGCATTAAGATGGGGTACCTGGGTTATTGACTCAATTCAGCGCTTGGCTGAATTCAGGCTTGGGGGTACAATGGACAAAAGAGTTTCCTTCATCTTTATTTTCTCTCTTAGACAAGATTCAAAAGAAGATTCTGGGGGAGCAAGGCATGGTTGCACAGCCTGCTGCAGTCCCGAGCAGCCTGACTACCATAAGTTTCAACAGGGAATTCAGCTAAGGCTCCAGACCAAGGACCATGCTCCAGACTCACAGCCACTGCATCTGACTGTTTTGGGGCTGGTATTATGCTGAAGGTTCAAGATGATGAGGTATTTTGGGTTCTATTACCTCATGTAACTCCACAGAGATGGCTGAGGGACACTTAGACGTGCTCTGGTGTTTCTAGCAATTCTTAGTGTTTGCATTGTTAATTTTTTAATGAGTTTTCTTATCAAAGTCAAGTCCGATGCTTTAACTTTCCCAGTTCCTGGAGGCAAGGTGCATTCTGGCACTGCAAGAGGGAACTGTCATGTCCAAAAATGTGAAAAACTCTTACCTTTTAGAAGTACCTGGATCTTAATTGTTTCCCAGCGGTTGTCTGAGAGAGAGAATTGCTCTTACAAAGCTGAAAACAGTTTCTGTGTTTCTTCTCTGCTTTGTTCCCAGGCCAGGCTGGGTTTTCCCCAGGGGAGGAGGAGGCCACTCTTGGTGATGCAAACCCACATGTAACTCCTCTGGGGCCCCCACAGATATGGGTCACCAGGCAGGCTTCAGCTCTGTGCTGATGGCCCTCTCAGCACGAGTCTATTTGAAACTTTGCTGGTGTAATTAAAGGTATGCTACTAATTGGATGCACAACCCTAAGGGAACTCCTTTAATTGCATTTCAATCTGGTTGATATAATTTTAACTTAAATTCATTGCTGTCTTGTGCAGGAATAACCCAGCTGGGTCTGGTTATGGAGAGGCAGATCACCYTGCTTCCTCCTCCCTGTCACACTCTGGATGTGCTTCAATTTGTTTGTCTCTGGCTGGGACACAGGCAGTGCACACGCAGAGGGCTGGCCTCAGCTGATGACAGGGACATGGAGAGTAGAGGACTGAGTGTTCACCTTGACCTGCTAATGGAGGTAAGAGCCTCAATTATTACCCTGCCTTCACTTGGATTTCATCTCCTGTGYGTTACCATAAATTGGTGTGGCCATCCTTTGTTTTTTTCTCTGTCAGSGAAGCCAGTGAAGACCTGAACTCTTTCTAAGAGATACTTTATTTCCACCCAACTTGCTGGTCTCGAGAAAGACTCCTTGCTTAAAACCGAAGCACCTCCACTTATTCTGGAGGCTGGGGAGATGGTGGGATTGTTGCTTTGAACCTTACAGCTCTTGGGAGCACAGGGGCCCTCAGGACTGCTCTCCCTGGCAAATGCCCTGTTTCCAGAAGGGTCTTCAGCAGCAATGAGCAAGGAAGTGGGGGCTGCACACCCCAGGATGAGCACTTGGAAAGGGTTTGAAGCCTTGCTCCATGGGTTGCAAGYACAGGGATCTGTGTCCTTCATCCCGGGCTCAGCGAGCGGGACTCTCCCCTTCTGGCATGTACCAGCATCCAGATGCTGCAGGATTGTACTGTGAGTGGGGCAGGCTCCAGTCCCAAAATTCTGATACTCCCCGGGGTCATCTGGTGCATGCTACAGATATTTTGAGGAATCTGGTCCTGCCCAAAATGGGCTGTACTCTCCATTCTGCTCCCCACCATGCTCCCTCATTCCCAGTGCTGTGTTTGTGAGCAGCATGAGGAGCAGAGCCAACAGCAAAGCGCTGGCTGTGTCCCTTACTAATGTTGTTCTTATTATTTCAGTGCCATCTTCCTCCTTTCCATCCTCTCCCTGAACAACTAAATTAATTAGAGTGATCTTTTTTTATTTAAATACTGTCATGGAATAATAATTCTGGTGAATTCAATTTTTTTTTGTCTTTCCCCACTGCTGCTTTTCTGTGTTGTGTTCACTTTTAATATGCTGTTGATATTTTGTTAGAGCTATGCAAGATCACAGCTGTTGTCTGCAAAAAAAAAAAAAAAAAGTAAAACCATGCTATGTGCTGTTGCCATCCAAAACCCATTTTTCTTTCTCCACCAGCTCACAAAATAAACCTTCTCCTATTAAGTGAAGAGACAGATATTTTTCTTGGCTTGTAAAAAGCCTCACAGCAGCTTCAGCAGCAATGGAAGCTGAAGCTCCTACAACAGGCTAGAACTCCATTCTGAGCCTGTTCTGAGGTGGAATCCTGCAGATTCTGGATTCCAGGAGTGACTCCCCACAGGCACTAGGTCTGTGGGTACCACCAGCTCCTGGGCTTTATCAGTCACTCAGTTTTGTTTACCTGGATGCGTTTGTTCAAGCTGTGAACATGTTTTCTGAACTGACCCAGTAACAAAACTACTACTGCAGCTCTCATGAAAGGACCAAAAAATCCCATTAGAGAACTTGAATTTATATTTACAATATTTTACTTAAAACTGGCTCCTCTGGACAGTTTCCCTCAGCCCCTGCCAGACCTTTCTGATCCTGCAAAGCCAGCCCTCAGTGGTTGCTTGCACCGAGATCGAAGCTGAGCTAGGATCAGGCCAGAGAAGCACCGTGGTCTCATAAACAGCACAAAGTGATAAATGCAGGAGAGCCAGAATGGAGATTTGAATCATCGTCTCCAAGTCCACAGCTCCAATTACAAACCCAACTTCAATCAGCCTCACAATGCACACAAGCAATTCTGAAATTCCTCCTTGACTCCCTGCCCTTGGCCTGCACTGCCTCTCCCCTGCGTGTGTGATGTGCCAGAGCATTTTAAATGAAGCTCAGGTGAGGCGTGTTCCAATTAAAGCCCCGYGGCTGTGTGACCGCGCTGGCAGGGCTTGCCCTGGCACTGCTGCCCCCACAGGGTTATTGGGGTGGCTGAGATTGCATTAAAGGAGGGAGTTGAAAAGCTTGTTTCCCCCTCATCTCTGGCTCCTGGAGAAGTGATGTACTGCAGTACATGGCTCTCGAGGAGCCGCCATCTCAGCTCCCYGCTCAGGCCAGGGGAAGGAGGCAGCTTGCTGGCTCTCTTTGAAAGCAGAGCCAGGTAAAGCAAAAATTTCTGAGGGGATTCAGAGAGGGCTGCAGYGGGGAGCACCCACTATTACACCCACAGGTGAAAATGGGGGAGTGATCCCATCCTTCCCCTGCCCTGCAGACCCTGCTCAAAACCTTTCAGATTCTCATGGGTGGTTTCTCAGTCAGGGCTCCACATTCGTGGCCACTCCTGGACCCAGAACGAACCYTTCTCAGGGAGACAGAGCTGATGAGAGGCACGGAGCTGGTGCTCAGAGGCAGGAGAGCACCGGCTTCCGAGTTTGTTGCCTCAGAATTGGGCTTGGAGTGTGTCCTATGTCCAGAAGGGACAGGAYGAATCTGAGGCTCTGCAGGGAATGGGGGTGTTTGTAACGTGGCATGAAAGGTAATTCAGCCCCTGGTGATGTTACACACAACCTCCTTACCAGATGCTTCCAGCCCCCAAACAGTTGTAAGTGCCTCTCCACGGGTCTCAGTTCAATTCCCTCCAGTATTTAAACTCTGCCTTGTTTGGACCAATACCCACAGATTTGATTGCAATAGCAGATGGTTTATTTTTACCTGCGAGTGAGAACAGGGAGTGTATATCATGGCCATGACACATTGCACATGGAGCAGATGTTTCTATTAATGCCAGAATTGGGTGGAAATTCAAAGGATGCTTTTTTGCTTTTTTTTCCCCCCTCAGAACTCTATTTTACACAATTAAATTGCAACTTGCTGAAGTATTCCAATGAATCACTTCCTCTTTTTTTTTCCTGTTTGATTAGTAGGCTCTAAAAGGACAAAAGAATAGTTTTGTATCAGTCTCCCTCAATTACATGTAAAGTACATCTGGACAGAGTCTGAARATCCATCTTTCACTGGCAGTTGCAAAGCCATCGACATAATAAAATAATACTCTGATTGGTATTACAAGGCTGCATTTAAATCATTGGCATTCATGCTCCGAGTCCTTTGCAGGGAGCACAAGCCCTCCATTAGAGAAAAGCTTAATTTTATACTGTGATCTGTGTAAGATGTGCAATGAAAATGAGAAAAAAGAGCTTTTGCAGAGCTGGAGACACAATAATAGAAGCTACAATGGATGTCTGGGCAGCTTTTTCAGTTACTTATAAACTGCAGGTGTCAAATGCATTCTGGAAAGGAGCTGAATCCCAGTTTTAATTACAGTCAGCAGGTTGAGGCATAATTCAAAGCTCAATAATACTTTCAATCCATAATAAAACTCCTCATGCTATCAGTGAGGAGTTTACACCAAGACCAAGGAGAGGATGTGACCCCCTTGCAGCAGCTAAACCTTGAACTTCAGTATCCCACTGGATATCAAGGATGTTCGGGATTTTACAAAGTACCTACTCCTTGCACGATTATYTCAGCAAACCCTGGCATCAAACAGGAGTTGAACTAGTCAAACTCATGATCAGGATAAGAAAGATGTGTCGTTGCAGCTTTCATCCAAGCTTCCTTTGACTCGAATTAATTTGGGGGAAGGAAAAAAAAAAAGGAAAAAGAAACCACCTGGCTGGAACTGTCTGGGTAAACCCAAGTAAATTGTATGGGCCATCCCTGGTCTCACAAGATAAGGCTTTATCTGCAATCTCTTTTACCAGCAACAGCAAGTTTATTGAGCTCAGAGTTTAAGTTCATTTTGTGCTTGAATGTACATCAATGCCCTGACCCAAACCCGAATCTTGGGGGCCTTATGCTGATACATATAATAAAGAATCATATTCAACTATTCCATCTATTAATCATTCTGGGGGAAGAAAGCAGGATGTGCGTGGTGGTGTGCTGAACTCAGCTGCTGGCGGCTCCTCTCAGAGGTGGGCAGAGCACTCCTTTAAAGCCAGCAGGCAGAGTCTTTGAAGCAGGAGCTAATGATGCCTTATTATGTGGGRAAGCACAGCTCCGGAGTCACGGGGCAGCCACCAGTGGGGTCGAGGATGAAGGTCACTGGAGAGGACACAGAGAGGCAGAGCTGCTGGAGAGGGAGRGTTTATGAGCGAGGGAGATGCTCCTTGCTGTGCTCAGGGAAATACAATCTCATGAAGCAAAGAGCTTCTTCCTGTCAGAGCATTCAACCAACAGACCTGCCCTGTACCACTCCTTGGCTATATCCAAACTCCAGCCATGAGGAGAAAGGGACTCGTGGGGGAATCTTCCACTGGGTTCCAGGAACCAGGAACTGCCTGGGACCAGAGGACTCGCTCGAGGAGTTACACAGAGCTGGAATAAACTACAGGAACAAACCAAAACCACTGGAAGCACTAACTTTTAAAATAGTTMTATTTGTGCTGACATTATCAGATAAGCTCTATGTCATTACCAAAGATGGCCCCCACCAACGGCCTTTGTGACTGTCAGGACGTAACACCTACATCCTCGCAACCCCCCTGTGAGGAGGGGCAAGGCCATGAGCCCCATTTTCTTTCRGGGGAGCCTCTCAAAACTGAGCCACTTTCACTCGGTCACCCAGGAAATCTGCTGCTGAGCAGGGAGTGGAGCGTGGGTTTTCCTCTGCAGTCAGACACCCTGCACTGCCCATAGCTCAGCCACAAGCAGCAGGTGATGTCCTCTAAGTCCTCAAAGCCATTACAGTGATAATAAAACAAGAACTGGGGGGGGAAAGAACCTGTGGAAAGACCAATCTGATTTGTAACCAAGTGCCAGTCTCAAACACCTACCATGCTCCTAGTGACAAATTAAGTGCATATCAAAAAAGAAAGTACTTTAAGAAAACGGGACTGCTTATCCCCATCACCCTAAAATCACTGAAAGCAGGGTTGGAGGGGCTGTCAGGTCTTTTCCCCAGATTCTATGATCCTGTGTGGGTGGATCCCTTCAATAGATGGAACTTAGGGTGCTAGCCTGGCTACTTGTGTCAGAGCTGTCCAGTGTCACATCAGGGCCTGCATCCACGCCATCAGGATCTGCTTGATCTTTAGCAAAGTTGATGAAAACCTAGAAGTTTAAAGGAAAACACTCAGTATGTGATAGCATAAATAATTTATGATATGAATGAATTTAAAAAATGCATGGCTGTTCATTTGACTGTGAGCCTGGAAAGTGCACTCACGGATGGATTCATGCTAAATTTGAGAGTTGCAAGTTGTTGGGCTTCTCTGGGCTAATGTAAATAAATGGATGTGCATTCCTGTACTGCGGAATTGACACCCAGGATCCAAAGGCAGACATTCCTGCAAGGAACCTCATTGTCCTGCAGCTCAGGTTCCCGAAACACCAGAGAAGCAATGCCCATGCAGCGGCTCATTTCGATCCCACTGTAATACAGTCCCATTATTACTTCATAAACCCATCTGTCTCTGTGTAATTGACATCTGTGCACGCACAACTGCAGAGTGTGGAGAGAGGTATATAAAAATCACACCTTTCAGCCTTCCCTTGAACAGCAGCTAATGAATACAGAAAGGATTCCTACCAGAACACTCCCTGCAATCACATTTGCATATTCACAAATCCAAGCTGTCCTCCCACAAAACTTGAGCTAGGGCTTCCTGTGCTTTGCCTGCCTGTTTTTTMTCTCACAACCACTGCCCCTCCCAGACTGCTGTGTCACAATCCATAGGACTACAGGACTGCAGCTCTGCTCCTCTCTCTGGGACAAATCTAGTATTCCAGGTGCTGATGCTCAACAGAGTGATTTCTTCTGGATAGTCCTTGCAGCAATTCCTTCAATGATGTGCTCCCTATAAGATTTGCTACCACGGGGAATGTTCTCCCAAGGGAAAATGGAATGAACCCCAAAGCTAAGTTTGGAGTAATGCTAAATGAACTTCCAACCCAAAAGGTAAGCATCTTTTCAGTACCAGTGGAAAGCCTAGCCCTGGACTCAGGGGTGATTCATAGTCCTGTCCCTCACCCACACCCACGAGGCTGCTGAAATCAGCAGTGACAGAGGGAAAAGATCTTTAATGCTCCAGGCAGCTTTCTGTGTGTGTTTCCCTAGCACCAGCAGAGGTACCTGGAGGCAGCAGTGCTGATAAAGTACCCCCAGGAGGAATATAGATGGAAATCCCTTTCAAACTGTAGTCTATTGTGTGCAGCAGTCCATTATGTGTAACCATCAGTCTGCTCCCCTGTTAGCAGTTTTAAATGGATGGCCTCACATTTTAATTCCTTACCTCCTCCAGTGTCGTCTGACTCACGGAGAAGTGCCTGATGTTGAAGGCTGCTTTGCTGCCTTCCAGGAGATCAAAGATATTCGCCACCCCTCCGGCAGAGACTGGGACGTGGTACTCCACCATGTTGAAATGCCGATCCTGTGGGAACAGCAGTGGTGGGGAAAAGCCAGAGAAAACAGATCCAACAGGTGGACCATGGGAGGATGAAGGGGCAGGGGGTGTGCTGTCTTCTGAATGGTATTGTCGAGAATGACCTGTGTTTTCCCACTGGGAATTCTCATGGGGTTTGTGACAGAGKGAGAACAACTAAACTGTGAGGCTAGAAGCTCCAGGGTGGCCATAGCATTTTCCAGCTCCAAGTGTGCAGTTTTGATTCATGCAGAGATTGGATTACAGACAATGGATTATTTGTGACTCAGTTACTCTGGTTTTACAATTACTCAGTTACTGGAAGCACTCGAATCATTTCACTACCCACTGAACCTGAAAGGGGACTATGTCCATTCCAGGTTTCAGTGGAAGGGCATTTCCAGGGCAGAGGGTCACCTAACAGCTGCCTTACAGGGTCACTGCAGCTGTTTGGCTGATGTTCCTTCAGCCACCAGGGAACTGGAGTGCTCCAGCCCTTGGACAATGTAACTGAAAGCAGTGACAAGTGTGACTGAGAGCTCAGATATATGTGCACTGTATGTTACAAGATGTCCACCTTGCAAAGATCTTCTTGGTGGGTTTGAAGGGATTTTGAAGGCCTCTCCTGAAAGCACTTGTCCTGCTTACCTTCAGGCATGTATTTGGGAAGTGTGACTTCATGAACTCTGTCAGCGTCTCAGTGCAAACTGAGCTGCTATTTAAGTGCATCTTCACAGTGAATCCTCTTCCAAATCTAGGGGAAAGAGAAAATCACAATTAACAGAGTAGAAAAGAAAAAGATGAAGAAACTCCTTTGAGAGTACTGCACAGGCTCTTTGASTAAATCTAATCCAGGCATGGTGCAGCTTGAAAGGGGTCAGGGTTGTTAACCTGGAATGAAACTTAATAAGAAGCCAAGCTATTGTTATAAGTAATAAAATCAAAGCTCAACCCTAATATGCATTTCTCATTTGTAGCAGTGAACAGTATACTTTGGGGGACACATTTCTGGGAAGACAGGCTGTGAGGGAGTAGAAAGTGCATTAGTTAACAGAGAATTTCAGTGGTATAGGAAGGGAMATAAACCAGGAAAAGTCATTATTTGGATAGCACAGATGTCATATTCTGAGCAGTCAGAGCTGTAGGTCAGGAATTCAAAGGCTGCTCAGTAAAAGTGAAATAGGTGCATGTTTACTGACCTGCTCTTGATGTGCTGCAAAGAGCCAATGCACTGGAAACTCCCRTTCACCATGATGGCCAGCCTGGTACAGAGGGCTTCACACTCCTCCATGCTGCAAAACCAAGAAACTCCAGTAAGTCATTGAGAATGGATGAAAAATAGTTAAATAACTGGAGAACATCACTGATCTTCCCTGAAGTGTTGTGGACACCACATTCACCCACAACAAACCCCCAGACCTGCCACAGCTCGGTGCCCTGAAATTGCACAAGGACCAGTGGGGAGTGTGAGGGATGGGCCTCTCCACACCTCTGCTGACCCCAAAATGAGAGAGAGAGCTAGCCCAGCCCTACCTGTGGGACGTGAGTATCACTGAGCATTTGTTCTGCACTTCCTCACTGATGATTTTCCAAAGGTGGCGTTTGGCATTGGGGTCCATTCCAGAGCTCGGCTCATCCTGTTGGGAAAGGCAGGACTGACTGGAAATTTGCACTCAAAAAAKAAACAAGCCTGGGCTCGGGCAGAGGAGGGAATTCCACCACCTCCTATTTTTATTGAGATTTTTAATCTCACAAAAGCAGCTGSAGCACCGGCAAGTGATCAGAAGTAAAGGCAGCAGTGCTGGGCTGAATACAAGCTGGGACAAGGGATATTTATGTCCACTAGGTATCCAACTAAATATTGGGAATCCTGCTCATAGAGCTCTGGAYACATTCTGTACACAGCAAGTGGGAAAGCTGCACAGAAAGCTATGTTTTAGCAATGGGGTMAACCCATGGAAGAACTAGAAGTTCAAAGTGCAGGACAAGACAGCAAGCCAAACCTAGAAAAGCAGTTATAATCCTGAGGGAAGTTGCCCCTTTGCTCTCCTACAATTTTGGAGCCTGCTTTTCTTGCAAGGCTGTGCAGGTTAGTTGATAGAAATGAAAAGCAAGATAGAGCTGTGAACTAGGAGAGTTTAATTGGCAAATACAGGGTTTAGTTTTGACCTCTGGAAGAGCTACCAGAGAAACTGAAAGACTTGCCACTCACTCTCTTATGCCCTCAAAGAAAATATGAGTGTTTGCTGAAACCTAAAGTTTCCTGTGATGGTTTCTGTTGTCAGGCCAAGCACAGGCACATGGAGAATGTCCCATAAGCTGTGCCTGAGGAGGTTTTGTGAGACTGTCCAAGTTCTCCTGCCAGCCCAAAGACCTGCTCCTCCTCCCCCAGCAAGGCCCCATTTCTCACCAGCAGCAGAATGGATGGATTCCCAATGAGAGCCAGAGCAGTTGACARTTTCCTGTTGGTGCCATAACTGCACATCGAGGTGACTCTGTCCTTGTAGGCCATCAGGTTCAGCCGGTGGAGGAGCTGGAGCACAACCTGTGGAACAGGAATTCTGCTTCCACAACATGTCCAGCATGGATTACTACACATCTATCWATGGAAACACTAATTTAAAGGCTCTAATTACAAAAATGCTGCAAGTCAAGCTCGTTGTCACTTACCCCCTTGATGTCCYCCTCGGGGATGCCGTGCAGCCGAGCATAGTAATACATGTGCTCTTCCACTGTCAGCAGGTCATCCAGGGCATCTTCTTGAGGGCAGTAGCCAAAGAGTGACCAGTGGCCCTCACTGATGTCATTCAAAGACCTGTGTGAGGAAGGTGGCATGTCATTGTAGACACACCAGATTGCCAGCACACTCTGGAATCCAAGATGAGTGAGAAAATCCCTTTCTCCTAATTTCCACCCCCTTCCCAACCCTTGAAGTAAAATGCTGTGGACCTGCAGAGCTGCAGCTTTCAGGCCCCCAGTTCTGCCAAGRCTGCCTGTCCCGTTTGTAGCTCACTGGTTACTGCCAGCAACTCAGATGGGACAGCTGCCACCAAGCCCATGACTGTTAAAGAAAGCTTTGAGGCGAGCTCTACAGGGCTCCAGGTCTAGCTCAGCAGTGGGATCACACTGCTGAGGATCTGAGCCTGATCCCATTTGCACTGAGGTGGAATAAACACCTCTGAGAAYATCAGAGATCTGGCAGCAAAATGCAATCTTCTAGGAAAGCAAWCATGGCACCTTCAAAGGATTAATTCCCCATATTGTTTATTTTTGCTCTGGTTTGAATGTTTTGTTTTGTTTCAGACTTTACATTTCTTTTCCTTTGCCACCCAGCCTTAAAAATTGCTCTCAGGTTGATTTGCTTCCCCGGATATCACACCCTCCATACCCAGAATGATCCTGGACCCGCAGCCTTCCGCTGGATGCTCCGATATCCCCTGTCAGCATCTTAAAGATGGTTGTCTTTCCAGCTCCGTTCACACCAAGCAAGCCAAAGCACTGGGAAGGGAAAGTCAAAATGTAAGTGTGCTGTATTTGTAATGCAGAAATACTGCTCCGAGATGGGTGCTCAGTACCCCTTGCCCCTTCTGTCTCCAGACCTGTGAGCAAGAWGAATTGCCGGAGGAACTCTGCACATCCCAATGTTATAATGGAGGTTGTTTATGGTGCAATATACTCCAGCTTATATTAGGACCATTTGTTTAAAATGGTGAAGAATCAAGGAGGTGTCCCCAGTAGAGTCATTCCTTTTACTGCAAGGTGCATTTCTGCAGGAGCTCAGGCCAAATCCCCATTTGTGCAAAGGCTCCCCTTGACAGGGACAGAGCTGCTCAGGGGAATGGGGTGAGTGAGGTTTGGGCTGGCACCGGTAAAACTTTAATAAAGCACAAGGTTTTTATCAYGTCATATCACCAAAGCACTATGTTAATAAGATGAAGAACTGGCTCCCTGTAGTGCAATTCCAGTATCTCATGGTAAAATCCACATTTTATTGCTAAGGTTGGAGACAAGCAGTTATGTGTTGCATAAGCCATCATCATTGTGCTGATAATTACTGTTATTTTGCCATCATTCATCCAGACCAGCTGATGTAAAAGTCCTCCTGTGCTGGGGATGCACAACAATTAATGGCTCTTCCCCACCTTGGTCCATACAGGGGACAGGATCTGTGCACAGTGTGTAGTGTAGTGCCACAGCTTCTCCTGACAGATGGGGAATGGTGCCCTAAATCCCACCAGCATCAGGGGAATTTTGCCAAAAGTCAGAGACCTCAATGCCAGTCCTGGCTTAGAAAAAAAATCATCTGCCATAAAGACCAGCACCAGTCTCCATGTGAGGATGCTGTCCTGCTCAGCACTCTGCGTCCTTTCATCTCAGTAGGACTCAAGCAATTAAAATAAACCAGGTGCCAAGGCTTAATTCCAAGCTTCTCCACAAGTCAGGTGCACAGTCTCAGGTAGAATGTGGTCCCCAGTTTCCTCTGGATCTCAGAGGTGCTCTGTGAACTCCCCTATTTCCACTTCTCAGGAACATAACTGCACTGACATGACCAAAGAGTGTTTTTTCCTTTGGAATTAATTTTAAGTCCTGATTGATRAAAATGTGTGTTCAGCTGAAGTGATTTGTCTTCCCCTGATGGGAAAACACAAGCAGATAAGCCTGACTCACCATYTCCCATGCAGTTCAGGTGAATAATTTCAGCTGGACACATTCTGCTGTCTTCATTTACCACCTGGTGATCCCCAGTGACCCCCCCCAGGACTGCACTGTACAAACAGAGTGTGCAGACATTTGGCTCTCAATACAGCTCCATCAATTCCCATCCACTTTCCCTCTTTCTAGGGCCTTCGAACTGTCACTTGGTGTCCCAAATCTACCAGGATTTACCAGTCACCGCCGTAAYCCCAAGAATCAATAAATGAGGCAAAGAGAGGAAGAGGCCAGAGCAGAGCAAACCATTACAGAAGATGACAGTGACACAGCCAGTGCCTGCAGCCTTCTCCCCTTGCTCACCTCCCCAGCAGGGATCCCAAGGCTGATGTTTTTCACTGCTGTGATGCGTTTGTGAGGGAGGTGGTAGATCTTGGTGAGGTTCTGGAGCTGCACCACGTCGAAGTCAGCTTTGCCAGACTCCACCCGGATCCTCTCTGCCTGGACGTCGCCATCCTCCGCGGCCGCGGGTGGCAGAAGGGAGGCTTTGCCATGGACTCTGTCAAACAGGAACCTGTGGGGAGGGCAGACAGGGACTTAAACCCTCCAGCAACAGCCAGAAGTGCTCTGTGTGCTTGTGACAGATCCCAGGGAGCCTCCCTGTGAGATCCCAGGGTACACACAAAATACTCAGATCACAGCTTCTATTTGCTCCTGGTATTTGCTCCACCCAGCATTCTCTTCCTGGCTATTTCTTTGCCCTCTTATTCAACAAATATTCTGGGCTGGAGAAGGTCCTGCCTTGTGGACACGCCCCTAATGCGGGTGACAGGAATGTTCTCACTCCTCTCTGTATGCACCCAGGGCAGAGGAGATGGGGAGAGCCAAACAGAGGAGGAGAGGAGATTGGAATCAGTGGAATGTCTGCCCACACCAAGAGCTGAGCACCTGCCCGCCAAAGCCTGAGCCCGGGGCTGCAGTCCTGGCCAGCACCGACCACCAGGGGACTCTGTAAACTACACCTCTGTTAGTTAATACTCTAATTACTGGGAATTCTGCCAGAGAAAACTCACTGCACATTCACAAATTGTCCTGGAAATTTATGGGCTTCATAATTGACAATGATGGTGTGGGAGCCCGGAATGAAACCACAGAGCTCTGGCTGGGTCTGTTCTCACTGCCAGGCTCCAGATGTTACTTACTCCAGCACGTTGTTCCAGACTCTCTGAATCATCCTGTCATGAACTGTGAGACGAATGGCAAAGAACACGGTGCCCTGGATGAACATGGCCAACAGCTTGGACGTGGTCTTGTCCAGCTCAAAGGTTTTGTCAGGGTAGTCCACTCCATAGGCTTTTAAGAAGCCCAGCAGTGCCTGGTCCTGCGACAGTTCAATCAAGCCATAGCCAAAGCAAAATTGTGGGAACAGAAGGAATGCATGCCTTAGATTTTCAGCGAGATCATGCAAACCCTGGAAAAAAAACAAAGAGCAGCACAGTCAGTCACTGCTTTTATTCATGGAATAAATTCATAGGTTTTACTGTGGGACTGAAGTGTAACAATTACATKGGGATTTGCCTGTGTCTCAGAGCAGAGATAAATTGAGAGCAAAGAGCTCTGGAGACAGCTCGTTTCACAGGCACAAGGTCATAAAAGTCAACAGGCAGCTSTGAGGTTGTGATCACCCATAGTAAACAGCAGCTAGCTCCCAGGATGGTCCCTGCTGCTGCTCCAGCACCTGGAACCTGCCCACGAGCCAGAGCTGTCCTGCTGCTGTGCCCCCCAAATCTGCACAGCCCACTCCCCTGGAGCCCTGTCCTGTCTGTTTTCCTTGGACAAACATCTCCATAAAACATAAAGATATGGCTTTACTAGACATAGAAGGGCTTTCCCAGCTAATTCRTGACAGAACAGCTCAGTGCACTGTCTTGCAAAAAAAGAACTCTGCACACAGCAAAGGGGARAAGCACTAAATTAGCATGGAAAGAAAGTGACTCCCTGCCACTGGAGCACAGAGGGATGAAAGGTGATCATAATTGCATATCCCTAAAATCCAAGGGGTTGCTGAACAAACTCTGTCCAGACAGAGAGAAAAATTCAACCCAGCTATTGCAATTGCCCACCATAAAAAAAAAAAGAAATCTAAATGTAAGGTGTGCATTTTATCCCAGCCATTCCCAGGGAGATCTCAGTTTAAGAGAAGGCTTTATTTAAGGGAATCAGCACTGTCTCTGAGTTGTTTTTCATCCTTGCAGGGAGAAGATGACTGCATTACAGACTGAGATGACAGACAGCTGGTGCTGGGCTTAATGCAGCACATGTCAGGCTCAGGGCAGGGACATTCAGCTGTCACTTGCCACAGTTTGTGCTTCGAGAACTCAGCAATGGTTTCAAGTGTCCATCAACACCTTTTTATCAAACACCCCCACCCACCTGCTGCCCTCCATCTTSCATCACCAGGCTGGCTATAAAGAGGGTCCTCAGGTTTTTCCCTCTCTTTTCGTGCTCTCCCCTCTGTCACCATCATTTCCTTCTTTGCTGAGGATGCAGATTTACAGAAAAGCAAGATCCATATGTGACTCAAGCCCTGTCTGTAGAGAACCCCAGGAAGTCCTGGGACTGTGTCCAGCTGCTGCGGACCTGATCAAAGCCACCAACCCCACAAGAAGCCTCTACTGTGTCACCCTGGGGTCAATATTAGTGGGGCTCCTACCTGGTCCGTGGCCTTTTCCTGGGAGAGCAGAAACACAACCGAGTGTGTGATAATGGTGTTGATGCCGAAGAACAAGTTGACACAGACGTAAACAATGAAGGCCATCCCTGTTTCCTTGAAAAACCCAGCCAGCAGGTACATCCAGGAAAATGAGGCATAACTGTAAATACCCAACACAACTGTAAATTACCCCTTTGAGGTAACTCAAAGGGCTACTTTGAAAACAAACCACTGAAGGTATCAGACAASACAGAATCACTGCATGGGCTGGATTGGAAGAGACCTTAAAGCTCATCTCATGCCAACCCCCTGCCATGGACAGGGACACCTTCYACTATCCCAGGTTGCTCCAAGCCCYRTCMAGCCTGGCCTTGGACACTTCCAGGGATGGAACATTACGTAACGTAACAGTTCTGTTTTGGCATGTAACTACATTTCCACATTACAGAGCTTAAAGAAAGGAAAAATGCCTCTGTGTCTGTTAGAATTTGGAGAAAAGGTTTATGATACAGACTTTGAACATGGAACCCCACCTGGAAACAAAGAGATTTTTTGTCTTAAAGCCAGGGAGTGTTTGGCTAAGTTTTCCTGAATTTGGCTGCTGCTATTTATTTTGCTCTCTAATATTAAAATGCTTATGTGTCTTGAACTTTGCAAGAGAGGAGGTCAGCAAGCATTTGCTTGCAGCTTGGGCTGCTGCTGGCACCTAGAATATTTTCATATCCACATGTAGGGTTTGCTTTAAATAAAGCAGGCATGACAGCAGTGCTTTACCTCCCTGCTCCTGGAAGGAGCAACTCAGTCACTGTTTGTGAAGTCTGTGTTGAAGTTGGTCCCGCCCTGGACCTCAGACTGCAGCAGCCTGCACGATCCAGTTCCTTACCCTGTGCAGTGATATTTAAATAACTAAGCTCCACACTTACCCAAACAGTAGCAGCAGAAGAAATACTGCCACTAAATTGCTGTTGTTGCAGAAAGCTGGGATCTGGAAGGCTGAAATAACTCCTACTGAGAGTCCAATAGGGACCATAAAAAGTACCTGCAAAATGATGTTAAAAAGATGTTACTAGGACAACAGTTCTCAAACATCTTCGTACAACAATTCAGAAGGAACAACACCAGGACTGAATCTGGTGCCACAAATGCAGCTTGGTTTTTCTAAGGGAAACCAAACACAGGTGGGCTTTCAGTCCTCCCCAGGATTGCAGATGAATTCCCACAAAGCCTCTTTGAATAGGAAAAGCCTCAGCATGGAGGACTGTGGGCAGAAAGTACCTTGAAAAAAGGTTGTGAATGAAAAATACCCCTTTGGGTTTTCTGTTAGCCTTGCAGTCAGACCACTTCATCGTGCCCTGTAAATCTAGTCTTTATAGTGTTGAGTCAATGCAGAGACCTACCAAACGTMTGCCTGGAGAGCTTCCTCTCTTTTCCAGCTTTGGGATTTAGCAGAATTTACTGGCAAGGATTCACTGAGAAATATCAAGTTGCCGAGAGTGCTGGATTAGTTTCAGCCCACTGAATACTGACTGTGCAAGGACTCTGGGGATTTTTCCACAGGCTGATTTACAAATATGCAGTGCTGGAGTGAAGGCCTGGATCAGGGAGGCAGGCACAGTCCTGCTCCACCCTCCCTGCTGTGCTGCAGCTCCGGGCTGTGCTGCCGAGCCAGGCTGGGGCCACACTGCCCTGGGATCCCATCCAGCCCTCCCGCAGGGCAGGGGATCCGTGTGCTGCTGCCTGCCCACATCAGCCCCTCCAGGCACACACTTCTGGCTCACATGCCCCATGGAATTTCAGCCCCAGTTCTCCCTGCACCAAAGGGGGCTTGGTCACCCAAATGGTCTCAAAGATTTCCTGTTTTCGGGAGGTACCACTGGGATTTTAGGCACTTGCAGATCTGCATCGACAGAAATGTGCGGGATGGGTGGAGCTGGTCAGCACTGCAGCCCAGCGGGCACAGCCCAGGCTCAGGAGCTGAGCCTGCCTGCAGTGCCCRTTCCCTGGTGAGGCTCTGACACCCTGCACACAGGGAATGCAGAACACACAAATCTCCTGCACACATTTGTCCTCAGGGCCCAGCAGTGCTTTCCAACAGTGCCATTAACCCTTGGTACCAGGAGAGAACAACTCCAGGGGGAACAAGGACAGATCCGTCCCRGGGAATGCAGCACAGTGCTGGGAGCTCAACAAGGTGCTGTGAATACAGCACTATGAAAAGGAATCTGCTYAGGCCCTGGAAGGCTGCATTTGTAGCTTTCTTTGGCCTAAAATCTTCATAACATATACAGAGAGCATTCAGGCCAGTGATGGGTTTTGGCCCAACAGGGTGTGTCTGCTGTGGGATGCCTGCTGCTGTCCCAGACCGGCTGTAGCCTCCAGCCCCAAAGCCTTACCCCAGATCTGTGGAGCCTTGGTGACAGCAAACCCAGCCCTGCAAGCTGTCAGAGGAGCAGCTGGCTGCTGACATGGAAATCAAGCTGCAGCCTGCTCCGTGCAGCTCCCATATAAATGTGTCGGGTGTTTTGTGTGCACTCCAGAGAGCAGCAATGCCTTTGCTTGGCAGAATCCAGCGTGGCAGTTCACATTTAATTGTCCCCAATGCCTTGGAGAAACAATTACTACACAACACTCTGGGTAGCAATAATTAGAAGTCTAGGCTACCAACTTTAAATAAAGAACTTTTCCCCCCTGCAGTGTAATGCTCCTCCTGGTGTGTTTAGGAACGTGAATTATTTACCAGATCATAAACGAAGTTGGTCACCCAGTAGGTTGTCATCCCAATGCCTGAAATGTGCTGCAGCTGCTTGGCTTTGGTTTGGTGCTCCTTGACCATGTAGAGCACAAAGCTTGCTGTGGTGATGGAGTAACCCACCAACACAGACATGGACACGATGATGTCCAGTAAGCTGTTGAGCCTGGGTGAAAAGGGGAGAAAGATGCATTTGGTGAGTCAGAGTGGCAGCTTTCCCTCAATGCAAGGATTGCTCAGAGCTCAGAACCAACAAGGTCCTGATTCTGGGCCAGCATCTTTTATAATCCTGAAATGTTATGGGTTTAGAAGGGACCTCAGAGGCCATCCCATTCCACCCCKGCCAGGGGCAGGGACACCTTYCACTATCCCAAGCTGCTCCCAGCCCCGTTCAACCTTGGACACCTCCAGGGATGACCTCACCACCCTCACAGGGAAGGATTCCTTCCTTTCTCTGTTCCCTTTGCTGATGTTGTTTATGCCCAGCAAAAGGGACTCAGTGCTGGACCCCAGCATGGAATAGGAGGGCCCAAAGGAAAATGATGTCATCATTATTRTTGTGCCTGAGCACACAGATGTGTGAGGCTGTAACTGTGATCTCCAGATCTACATGGRATCCTGCAAAGAAAGCCTCACACAAATCCCCAGCTCTGATGGCAAGTAGGGCACTATTCATGCATAGAGGGAACAAAGGCAAGAGAGACAAGAGTTTCATCACTCAGGGAAAGATATCCAGTCATTTAGGCTGGCTTATGGTTTCCAAGAAGTTGGTTTGCTCTTTTGAAAGCTAAAAAATTCAGGCATCAGCCAAATGAATCTTCTTACATTACTTGTTCTTGACTCTGTCCTCCAGGATATGGGTGAGCTGATAAGAAAATACCTACAGGGGGAAAAAAAAGAAATTGAAAATGTGTCCAAATTAAAGCTTCCTTCACTGGCTCCTGTTACTGACAATATAGGAAACTGAGGGAGCAGAGAAGAAAAGCAGATCAAAAGTGTGTTTCTGCTCTGTCATCTCTGTGTGATCTTGGGCAGAATTTTGAGCATCCTCATTTTTCCTATGACTTCACTTGGCTGCACAGCAGATCTGAAATTCAAACCCTAGGCCTTGTTCCTACATCTGTCAGGCTGACAGCACCATTCCCTACCCACACCTCAAATTAGGCACACACCTGTGGGCCCGTGTATTCCAGCTCCGATTCCTCGGCACCGACACCTTCAAAACTGATGAAAATGTTCTGTTTCAAAGGTGCTGTCTGATGGTCCCACCTCATCCCATTTGTTCTTTTATCACCAGGAAAAAACCTTTCCCTGCTGCCCTTCTCCACAAGTGCTACCTGCCTGTGATAGGTGTCTTTCTCCATATGGGATCTGTGGAGGTGAGAGCAGAACCCCAAGAAACCCACAGCCGCTTTTGCCCCAGTGTGGCAGTAAGTTAATTCTGAACTACTCTGYCTTAAGAAGCTAGAACAAAACAAACCAAAAAGAGAGTATTTTGTTCAAAGCTACTAGCAAAAATCTAGTTTCAACAATGGTTAAGTCTCCTGCAATGTTTTCCCAAAAAAAATCCATTAAAAACGGGTTTTGATCAGGCTGAACCTGCAACAGAGAAATTCTCTGCTAGGAGAACACCTAGCCCACAACACACTAGTGCTGTTCACTACAGTGCTTTTCCCTGGTTTGGAGGCAGTTTGTGCCCACAAAACCAAAAGGAAGAACATGGTGGGGCTCTGGGGGGACAGCTCCAACCTCCAGTGCAGGTCTCTACCTTGGCCCCACCAGGATGACAGCCTGGTCTCTAGGACTGCAGCACCTGAGAAAGGGCTCCCATGTTTATGTGCCTAAAAATTCATATTTTGGCACCTAAGTACACACCTCAGTTCTCAGGGAGCAGCTCCAGCTGCTGTTAAACCCAGAGATTTTCTAGACCATGCCACCTCTGGAGTTTAAGCTCCTCAYAGCCAGACCTCAGGAATGATGAGATGAAGAACTGTTCTGAGTAATTTTACCTAAGAATGGGCATTCTGACAGGGGGAGCAGAAGGGAGGAGCCTGTGGGTTTAGGTGACCAAATGCGATACTGAGCAAATAAATTTGAAAGGGAGGATTTAATAGGAAATTAATTTTGGAAGAAAAAAAAACCCTAACCAAACCTCAGTCTTGTCATTGGTGAGAGAAATGGGATTAAAATCTTGGACTGCTGATAAAGCCACACAAACAGCCAGGAAATGTTTCCCTTCTCCAAGAGGGAGAGAGGGAAAGAAAGATACCGTCTGTCTAATCTGTTAATACTTCACTATAAAGCCATTTTCCTTTACTGGAGCTTAGGCTAGAAGTCAAAATTTCCATTTCAATGCTTTCTCCTTTTTTGTTAGCTGGGATTGAAAGAAGAGAAAGCGYAATATACATAAGTCAAAAGCTATTATGACTCGCTTAGTGACAGGGTAAAAAGCTTTTTATGTATTTTTTTTTAAATACACCCGGTCTAAGTCAAACCTCTAAAGCAGGACTGGCACCTCTCTCTGAGTGCTGAAGTGACAACACACTTTTATCTGGCCATTTCAATGGCTCTTAAACCATCATTTATTTGTCACAACAACAACTCGATTGAGCTGCCAGGAGCGTACCCCATGGAACGTCCCTCCAGTTGTGTTTCAGACYGGATTTACTCTACCTCAGGGGAGCCAGCCTCATCCATTCAGTTTATTTCTCCCCTTCTATGGCTTGGATGATTAGYGGGAAGCAGAGAATTATCTGTCTGGTCATTTACTACTAAGCATTTCTTTCCAAAAACACTCAAGCAGCAGGACAGATGGAACAAAAACTGCTGCTATTCTTTTCTCCCTGAAAATTGCTCTTTTGCTGGTATAAAACTTTCCCTGTGAAAACTTTCTGGCTGTTCACATGATCTTCCTGCCTTTGCTCTTGCTACAGCTTGTGTTGGGAATACAGAGACAGAAMAAGGAGCTTCACTGCTTAATAATTCAGAGGCTGTGGGATGTTCCTGCTGCTGGAAGCGCCTGGCTGGGGTCTCCTCTCTCAGCAGCTCAGCTGCAGCTCTGTGATGTCTGAGCTGAGGGCACACTGCAAACCTCARAAGGGACAGCCAGGTTGAGGGGGGGTTGGCCAGGACAAGGCTCTGGTGTCACTCTCTGTGAGCTGAGCTGGCTGCAGGGGCAGTCTGGGTGCAGGGGTGTGAGGTGGGAAGAGTCACGCTGGGGTTCCTTGTGATCAGCATCTGCTGCTGCCTGAATTCGGGGTGGCACACTCAGAGCTTCAGGCCACATTCCTGGTTCCATCACAGCTCAAATCAGACAGTGCCACCTGTCCCTGTGTCACCAGGGCCAGCAGCCCTCTGAGGTAAGCAGGACCAGGCCTGACCAAAACATGGCTGGAAGGGCACCCTTGTCCAAGGAAGACAATCAGGAGGGTGTTTCTRCACACAATTGCTGCTCTTGGCAGAGCAGAGCCCAAAAATCTGTGTGATCTCTCTCTTGTCCGTACACCCTGGCCCTCTCTGGAGAAACACAGGCACACACAGACAGGTTTGTGCCCATACTGCACTTCGACAGAGGCTAAACTGCAAAGGGAAAGACAGGGAGCCCTGATTTTCCAGCAGAAATTTGGGTTGCTGCCGAATGTTATYGAGGAGAAGCTATGAGAACCCCAAATGGGCCATCAACACTCCCTGGATCTGTGTATGATGTGTATCAAGGTTAAAATACAGCCAAAAATTATCTTTTTTGTTTAATCTCACCCTCCGCATTCATTCAAACCCAAACACACACCCCTGCTCTCAGCAGAAGCATGAAATATTGSAATTTCCTAATCTAACCCACCCCCAGAGATGACCTACAGGAGCTTTGCTCAGCATAACTAATGGGCACCTATCTAGAGACAGCTCTTCCAGTGCCACATGAGAGGCAATAAATCAAACAGCAACTGCTGGCATTTCTTGGATGAAGTGTTTCACACAGGAGCTGGGGTCCTCCCTGTCCAGCTCCCCTGAGCCTCTGACTAAGATAAATGAACTATGTGATTTATTCATGCTTTTCAATTCTCTTTTGAAAGGAATTGCAGATCAGTGAATAAAGAAATGGCCTCATTGAAGTCAAGGTAAGTGTTGTCATTGATTTCAGCAGAGCCAGGATATCCCTCCAAAGGGGAGAAAGTTATCTGCTCATGTAAGGGGACACTTACCATATCTGGAAGTCTCATTTTTTGGCAGGTTGGCTCGAAGGATGAAGTTGTTCAAGCTGTTGAGATAGGCTGGGAGGCTGTGATAACCCTCGGGGTTATACCACACCTGCRCACAATTGAGAAATTGGAACAATTTGGGAGTTATTACTGACAATGTGCTGGTTTGTCCTGCTTCACTTGTGCAACTACTTARGCTTTCAGCCCTGGTGCTTTTACAGCATTTTCATTGAACAGAACCAGAGAAATGGGCATTATCAGAATGTTCCAGCCAGCTCTTGTTATGGTACATACATCCCCTCACGAGATAAAGGTGCTACTAATTGATCTTTGCACCTCTGTATAATAAAATTATGACAGCAGAAAAATTGCYTCCTGCTAGCAAGAGAAGTGAAACCAATAAAGAAGAATGGGGAGAGGAAAGGAAATGAACTGCGAGTCATCTCTGTCATGCCAAGCTGCAGATTTCAGGGGATTTTGCTTTCTTTTCTGGAATATCCACAAACTCGATGTGGCTTCTCCCAAGTCCCACCCTTCCCGTGCCAGGATGAGCAGGTGGGGGTTGGTTACCTTAGTCAGTGTTCTGTTGGGAGGCACTGGCTTGATGTCAAACTGCAGATCTGATGTCAAAGGCAGCCCGAAGCTCCAGCCTCCATACCTGAGTGAAAAGCAGAGGGAAAAGCATTGCTACCCTCATCCCAAAGCCCTGATTCCCTTGGATGGATCATGTCAATGTGTCACTGCCACCCYAGGCAATTCCAGCCTGGCTTCAAAGAACTTATCCTAATGTGGGGCCAACCACCACTSCTGTGGGAGCTTTTCTTTGGGGGGAAAAAAGAGAAACAGAAGCTTGGCAGCACTGTCACAAAACTGGGCAGAAAGCCCCGCTTTGAGGAAGACTGTGGAGGTGTGTGGACTCCAGAGGTGTGTGCCTCCACTCTGGGGTGAGACAGTGCTTCCGACCCAGGAGATGAGCGACTCAGTTCATTGCTGGCACATGAACACATTCCCTGGCAGCCTTAGTGGCAGGTTTCCTATGCCCCAAGCCCTTCTGGACAGCKGCCTGGCAGAGCCCAGGACCTGACAGAGCCCCAACCATACCCTCCCAGAGCCCCACAGCACATGGAAACGCTCAGACTCTGCTCTCACTRGAATGCATGCACCCCTTCAAGAGAAGCACACGCCAGGACTGAGAATCAAACCTGGAGGAAAATCTCTCCCCAGGGCTTACTTCATGACAGACTGTGTCAGATTTTCCTCTTTTTAAAGATTTCTGAGTCAGACAAAGGCTTGTCTGCAGATCCAGCCCAAACGTGCCAGGTGATTGACATGTTATCCCCAGGCTATTTCTTCTATGATCAAGCAGAGCACTTGAATGAGCCTTTATCTTTTATCCATGATTGCAGGACACTTTAGTCCCTGTCACYGGATTCTAAACCCCTCCTGCACTGTCACCTCTTCAGGCAGAGGGGCTGTGACAGGTGTAGGATGCCCTGCATTGCTCCCAGTGCCATTCAGAGAAGAGCAAGCAGAGTTGGTGCCATACCGTTTCTGCAGGAAGTCTTTAGTGGTTGCCAGGATGTAGCTCTCCACATTGTGCCCTGTCAGGTTGTAAAGTGTCCGTGTGGAGAAGGTCCTTCTGTGAGGGGGAGTGTAGTTTGTCTGTGGGCATGTCTGAGGGGAGATAAATGAAAAACTTTAGTGTTTGTGTTTTAMCTAAAACCCAGCACATCAGGACAAGACTGACAGCAGGCAATGACAGCGTTCTAGTCCTGAGCCTCGTTCCTGCAGAGGCTGCTCCTTCCCAAGCCAGGGTGCACAGACACACAGCACACATCCCTCCCCAACACCTTTACAGAGGTGCTTAAAAACAACCTCTGCTTAAATCTACCCTTCAGTCCTACTGGCATCAGTGGGACCTTGAAATGTGCTTCATGCTACATAGGAAGATTTGGGCTGAATTAAAGCTGATCCTACTTAGCAGAGCGACTGCACAGACAACTGCAGAGGGCAAAATAACTCACAGAGCAGGAAACTCTGTGGTGGCCTCAAACTCTCATCTTCCATTTCACAGCAGCTACACTCTACATTTCTGCTTTACTGTCAGTCACTGGAAATGTTTTCCTGGGCTTCAGAGAAACCTTGAATTAGTCCTGAATATATAATTTTACATGCTGAGGGCCAAARTCACATCACTGTTTCATGAGGTTGAAGTGTCCTCCCAGACAGCATGTTGGCTGCTTCCYTCAGCTCATCCATAACAAAAGCCTTGGACTCCCCCATTGTGCATCTGCTCATCTGAATACACAAAATAGCTTCCTCCATGCTGTGGAACACCTGCCTGTGCCTGCTAGAGGTGAGAATCAGCTTTGAACATTATCCCAACTTACTGGAGAAATTATGCCAATACTTTTAATGATGTGAAATTAAAKGTGTGTCCAGAAAACTGCAGAAAATAGCTGCATTTTAAGGAATGACTAGAAAMATTCATCTAAGTGCATCCTTTATCTTACAAATGGCATCACATTGTGCCAYGASTTTATTTGCTAYGGAAAAAGGCTGAGGACAGGTGAASAGCACTGSRGGGAGGAGARCTSAACCCCAAACTGAACCGTGAAACTGAAGCACCCTTGGGGCAGAATCTGCCTTTTCCCCATGTGCATGCAAAGACACTAAGCCCAGTAGTGCCCATATCTGGCTCTGTAGGTACCACCATAATGCAAATTATTACTATTATTACTATTATTGCTATTATTAATTATTAATAATTACTAATATTAATATTTAGAACAAGGAGCAGATCTAAACTTTGCAKGAAGTTAACTTCTGAAGAGCAAGCAGCAAAAATAGCTATGCTTTTATATAGTGGTAGTTTTTGTATAGGATGAAATGTTCCTCTTGAACACATGCACACCTCTGCCAAAAGGGATAGACACACAACACTCAAAAACACCATTAAACCTTTTCCCACCACGGGAAGCAAAGCAGGGATGTTTGGGTATGAATCTATTTCCTTTCCTGCCCCCAAACTGGTRCAGACAGTGGTTATCCACAAAATCAGCAAAGCCAAAAAGACACAGGAGGACTTGGAACACTGATCTCCCCCTAATATCATGCCAGCCCATAAAACCACTCCCAACATACAAGGCCTCCACTTATACCTCAAGCCCCCTCACTTCTGGGTTTATCCAAGTTACCTGGATGCCATCTGTGCAGTTGCAGGCAGAATACTTAGTTCTCTGGTTTCCACTGGTAATCCACTGGCCAAGCATGTCCTCYGTTAAACACTGCCTGAAAAGGAACACATTTTCCTCTGAGTCTCTCTGTGCTCAGGTGTGCAAACGAAGCTAATTGCTGTCATGTTTAATGACAGCAAGGCTGGCAGTTGAACAGCTCCAGCAGGAAAGCAGATTTTCTTGTCAGCTCTGGGTGGTTCAGGGAATACCCAGCCTCCTGCTGCCTCCCRTGCCCCTCGGCAGAGAGATCTCCCTGCTACTCTCTGTGCCTGGATTTGCTCAGCTGATCAGACAGAATCCAGGCACCATTCATTCCTACAGCAGAGAGTGCAAGGAATTGGTGCTAGTAGGCCAAAAGCACCTTAAACCAGCCCAGAAATGAGGGCTATTGTTGTGGCAATCCCTGGGCACTCCTGTGACAGACTGTATTGCCTGGGCAGTCACTGCAAACACTCAGGGTAAATATTTGCCTGCACGAGCATTCAAGTCTGCCCAGGATTTTACCAGCAACTCCCTGAGAATTTATCTGCAAAGCCCAAAACAAACGGGCCCTCGTGGCACAGCTTTGAGATAGAGGTAACAAACGCTGTGCTGAGAACTTGCTGTGTGGGCTCACGTTATAATTGGAATTACTGGGGCGGCAAGGACCACTTCCCAGAGAGGAGAATTGCTTGTTTTCATCCTGGCATTCTGCCACCACCAAAGCTGCTTCCTTACCACTCCTAATAATGCAGGAGTCCAATGAATGAGAATTCTGCAGGTGATCAAAAATGGTTACTAAGGTCTAATGGCTAATAGCATCATGCCAATTCTCTCACAGGTTTGGAGTTTAAATGGAAAAAACCCCAAGAACTACTTACGAATTGCTTGCGTTCATRCACGTGTTATCTGTCCCAGGGAAAGCCAGCATCGAATCAACTAAAGCAGCYGTGGTTTCATTAAAATTCCTAAGAATTGACAAAGAAAAACAGAAAACRGAAAAAGGTTCAAAGAACTTGCACTACCACTGTGCAGAGGAAAACTGAGTTTGAGTGAAACAGGATTTAAGATGTCCAATAATTGAGTATTTGTGGAAGCAGCACTGAAGTACATGCAACAAAATCACACAGGTTTAAAAGGAGTCCTTATCACCTCAGCTACTCCAGTGATTTGCTGCCTCTAGATCCAAGCAAGGTATTTTTGGTCAATCAAGATTCCCTTTCAGGGGAAAAAGAATCTACTGCAATTTTCATGCACTGCTGCAGCCCTGTCTCAATCTGCTCTCTCATCTGTGACATCCTCTCTGGTTTGGACCATTCAAGAAGATGGTCCTTGGGCCTGCCCTAGCTCTCCAATGATCCACCAGGAGAAGCAGGGAATATTAGGAACAGAGGACTCAGACATGCAGCTCTGGCTCAGTCCCCCACCTAGCAGGACTGAAGTTTTGGAAGGGCATGAAAAATCCTGGGAAGAACACCTAGAGCAGATTGCTTTAAAGCTAAATTTTGTATTTCTGACTTAGAACTGAGAATCACTGGAGAAAGAAAGAGGTTCACAAGACGAAAACCAAATGATACAAATTATAAATGTTCTGGTAGCAGGATTTTTAAGCACAATTAAATAATTCACTGGTGACATCCKAATCACCCTGGAAATGCACATGCTCTTCTAACTGCTTTGGACCAACAGGGCCTGGCCAGGAAAGCACATCCTGTGCTGACAGAGAGGAGGGTAATGTTCACAAGATGGATGGAATTTGATCCCAGAGTTGTAATGGTGGAGGCCATTGATGTGGGTACCTCATTTCACACTGGAGGAACATATTAAGAAAATCCCTCTGGCTGCTACAGGGCTGGAGGACTCCATTTGGAAACATCAAGAATATTCCTCACACATTTCATAGTTAATTCCAATGGAGAGGTTGTTTTTCTGAAGCTTTCTGGTCTGAGTGAAGCCATCTCCTCAGAGATCCCTTAGGAACAGGGTTTCTCCGTGTTGTCTGCACAACAYAACTCCAGGTACTGTGTGTAGCTGTGCTCAGAAATGACCCTGGACAGGCTCATTCTGGACAAAGGGGTGTCAGGACAAAGGAGCAGCACTCACCCAAAGAAGTCAGCCTGGTCAGTTGTGCCATACAGGGAGGGGGACAGCRGCAGCTCGGGGTACTCGGTCTCCTTGGTCCTCAGTGTGCCCAGGCCCATGGCAGCCATGACGAAGAGCACCGGGAGGATGACCTGGGCGATGAAGCCCCGCACGTCGCGCCGGCTGTGGTGGAACCTCTTGATGAACAAGGCCGAGGTTCTCTTCAGCAGCAGCGGCAAACCCCGCAGGCTCTTGGACCTGATCAGGAGCTGGTCTGGGAACAAAGGATGGCATTTGGTCACGGGGCAGCATTTGTGCAATGGGGCAGCTTTTGTGCAATACAGGGAAGCGATGGTTAGAGCGACTCGGAAGGGTGTTTTGGTCTTGCACACCTTTACAGGTGGCAAATCAAAACTATTAATTTGAACAACACAAGCACAGGATCAGGCGTGGAATAGGATTCCAGACTTAAGGTCATGTAAAACCAGTTTTTTTGTTAAATTTCAAATGTGTACTTGTAGTGACTTCAAGTGTGAGACCTTGCAGGAGAAACACAGGCTTCCAGATGAAATAAGTTACCTACATCCTACCTATCCAGCTGCAAATCACAGAGGAAACATCTTATTCTTTTAGATTTGCAAGCTGAAATTTTTCATAGTTTAAAAAGCATGTTCTCAGACAAATAAATAACAAAATTAACCCTGAAATAAGAAAACAAGCACAAGCCACTTGCATGGACAGGTTTTGTGGTATACTAAAAGCAGAGACAAATCCTGTGCCACCTATTTTCCTTTAGGAAATAATAATCTGTATAATGTTCAATGAAACAAATACTTATCAGTCCTCTCTTTAAGGGTGAAACAAAACACTTCTCTACACCAGCGACTGTTTACAGTAAAATTKACAGTGCAGGTCAGCTTTGAGAAGKACAAAAATACCACTGTGTTGTCCCTTGGATGTCTCCCTAACTGTAAATGGTATATTTAAAAGAACAAAACAATGTTTCTAACCCAAGAATGCATTGCAGCCAGGTGTGTGCTCATTTTTGGGTTGAGCTACCTTTGGCAGGTCTCAAACCCTCAGAGATTCTGGTGTAGCTTGGTTGTTTCTGAATGTGATTTTACCCCACTGTCTGGTCCCTTGGGCTCCTTTAGCGAACTGCAATGTCTGGGTTACAGCAAAGAGCAGCAAGGAGGACCCAGCCCAGAGCTGGGCTGCTTTTCCAACAGACTAAGGGGCTTCCACAAAGTTTCTTTCCAATTCTACTAGTTATGGAGAAATAATCCTCTACACCYATTACAGCAATTACTTTCAGAGATGCACACTTACTCTTTCACCCACATGCTGTATTTGATTAGATTAAAACTGGATCAATTTAAAGGAAGGTGGATGCAAACAAAACCCTTCAGTAATTTATCCTGTGACTCAGACTATTYCAAACCAGGGGATCAAAAGGACTGATAAGTGCTGTATTTCCTGTGATTTATAGGGTTTGTGATTCCTGGCTGGGTGAAATGTGGTTTTCAACAAAGAAAGAAGACAGGGAGCTCAGATCAGTCCATCTGTCAGCATTTGCATCTGCTGTAAATCTGGAATAAACCCTGGAGGTGACTGAGTACCGTCTCTGTCTGTGAAGGTGTCTGTGCTCAGAGACATTTCATCACCACCAATGTGACCACTGGTTCCAGGCAGCTGATGGGGCAGTGTAGCATCTTCGTGCTGGTCCTTCACTAGCTCTTTTGTCAGATTCAGGAACACCTATGGAGCAAGAAAATATGAAGGAAAATTTGTCCAAATGACTCCATTTACCAAAACAATTACCAGAACCCACTCTCCTGCTTTGTAGCTGTAGTTGGCATAGCAATTATGTACAATAATCCTCTTTTTATTCCCTTTGTGCTCTGTGAGAGAAATTCACTTTTTTTCAGTAAAAAAAAAGTTGTCCTTGTCACCTCTTGTCTCTGTTCTGCTGCAGCAGTGGAAACTCAAACCTCTTTCCCTGGAATATTCACCCTCTAGCCCCTGACAATCCCACTGCCTCCATGCTGGGAGTGTGCATTCACAGCACCCAAACTGCACATGGGATGTGATGCACAGCTCATTCTTKCTGCCTTAGGAAAACATCTTAAAAGAAGGCAAGAAATTCTGAGCAGGCAGGTAACAATCTCCCTCCCTCCTTTCTGCAAGGCAAGGGTCATCGCTGCTCATCATTTCCTTTTAATTTCTGATGCAATTAAATGTGTTTATTTGACCAGAGATTTCCCACRGGCAGAAAGGTGCCTGCCTTACTCTCTCCTTAATCTAACTCCAGTGCCTCATTTTCTGGGTAAAACATCAAAAGGCTGTCAGCAAGGTGAGACACTGTGCATTAGCACACGTATAGGTTCATAGAAACACTCCCGTGTTCCTAAGCATAACCCTTKCTTCCCCTGCCTGGAACCCTCACATAATTCCAAAACATGCCCAGAGAGCAGAGCCACACACTGCTGTGCAATGAATCTCCATCACATTTCAGTGAATCCAGCAGCTCCTGAGCTCCTACCTCTTCAACAGTTGTGTTGGAAATGCCGTAGCAGCCCAGGTGGAGATCGTTCAAGCTGGTGTCCAGSGCTCTGAGGAGGGCCTGGTAGGCCCCTGACACTGTGGACTTGAAGGGGGGAAGCACATACACGAGCTCTCCACCAATATCCTCCTTGAGATAAGCCTCTGGGAGATAGGACTGGATCAAGGAAGTCACTGCTGTGGTGTCACATTCCTCTATCATGTTCTGAAAAAGGAGAACACTCTGTGGTCACTGGAAAGGCTGCAAGTTCAACCTTCCTCCTGCAGAACATAGCYCAAATCCCGTCCCAGAGCACAAGTGGTAAGAGATCTCAGTCCAGCTATCCAACATTTCATAGTAAATATCAAAAGCARGTGAAAATGGGTTTCTGGCCCTTAAAAAAGGGATGTGTGGCACTGAGCCCATCTTGGCCCRTGCAAGACATCACCAGGTTTGATCCAATCACCCACTTTGCACTGCTAGAGATTTGCAGTGCAACGGAGAAAAAGCCTGGCCACCGGAGAGCTGAACTTGCCTGCCAGCACGAACTCACAGGGCTTTTTCATGGGTATTTTTTCATTTTCTCTGTCTCCAGTGGCAGCACTCTGGAAGAGAGGCTGATGTCTCATGGTACCTTGTGTGCTGGGCCTACCAACAGCACTGTGATAAACGTTATCAAGAGCAGAGTTCCCCACTCCTTGCAAGCAGAACACTTTGCCTCAGGCCAAACACTCTGGATGGGCTCTTCCCWTCTGCTTTATTCCTCTGAACTCCAGAGTTCATACTCTTGCCTTWAACCTTCAAAGGGACCCTGTTCTTTCTCAGCAAAGCAGAGCACTGATATTCSCATTTTCAGAAGGCCATTGAGGTCACTCAGCTCCTGGTAAGACATCCCTCAACCAGCCTTGATGGCTCCCTTGGAGATGGAGCTGCCAGGAGCTCTAGGACCAGCTCAGACACAAACCTTCTTTTTTGTGAGTGTCAGGTGGTAGCCATCCCCAAAGGTTTCCTTGAGGTAGAAAGGGGAGCCACARCACTTGAGCCCTCCATGCTCTAGGAAGGCAATCCGGTCGCTCAGAACTTCTGCTTCATCCAGGTGATGTGTGGAGAGAATGATGGTTCTGCCTGGAAACACAGTCACCACAGAATGAACATGTGGTTTTAGGGCAAAACTGGATTTTAGAAGGATATGGGTTATTTTCTTTCCTTTCTCAAAAACTTCTCCCTCTGTATTTTCCCCATGCAATGATATCATCAATATAATTGCAGGGGYTCCAGAGCTTCCCCTTGTTCTGGATCAGTGCATGGCAAATAAGTCCATATTGTTAAACCAATACAATGAGTGTTTATAACAATTTTCTTTTATCACACTCTGGTCAGATGTGTCTTTATCTCACCAGTGAGACAGGTGAAAGCCTTGCTGAATGAGGGCACACAGTATCAGGTGAAAATCAACTGCATTTTTTGGTAATTATTAGTGAAATTGGATGAAAGGAAACTAGAGACATGAACTTTACTGTATGGTATGCTGAGTACTATGGGAAAGTTAATTTACAAATGACACAGTGAATTTACAAGAAATCAACACGGATGCACCTTCCAGACTTGCAAAATCCCAGTTTCCCAGAGTTTTTTTCTCTGTGGCCTCCAAAACTCACAGCTCAAAGCCACWGGTACCATATTTGCAAAAATGACATGAATCACCTTTGCCTCAGGGCAACATCTCCTCTCATCACAGTACCTTTCTTATTCTTGGAGATGATTTCCCAAATACTCCTCCGGGAGCAYGGATCCACCCCCGTGGTTGGTTCATCCAGAATCACCACCCTGGATCCCCCCAGGAGAGCAATGGCTATGGATAACTTCCTYTTCATCCCCCCGGACAGGGTGCCAGCCAGCTTGTGACGATGRCTGTACAGCCCAGTCTCCTTCAAAGTCCTGGAAAACAAAGGAAAAACAACTCCCATAAGTTGGTGTMTTTTCCAAGCAGGGAGTCTGAAAATACCGAAAAAAACTGTAACTGTAAATGAAAAATTGCTCAAGTATGGACTGCTTTGCTGAGCGGTCACAGTGTAGAGCCACCCTGCAGCTCAGTCATTGGGATTTTAATTCAAAACATTTTGGAGGATGTTTTCCAAGTTTCCATCTGACAAGTCAAGGTTAAAGGCTCAACCCCATCAACTAAGACACCAAGATYCAAACTCCCTGGGATGTTCTGGCTGCTTCATTTCTCCGCAGAACCAATAAAGCCAACATCATCTTTCTGACTGGTTGATTAAATCTTTTTCCGGGGAAAACTGTAAAGCAGCAAGGACTAGACCCTGAGGCCTATAAATTCATCTCCAAATAATTGCCACAGCAGCTTGTAAACCCCCTGGAGAAGAGATATTGTTTTCTTACAGCCACARGTATCAATATATTCCTCCAGTCAGARCAAGGCACYATTTGAACCCTAAGTTGCARCTACAAATCCTTCCATCCACGATTTTGAGTTTTGCWGTGGCACTGGCACCWTMAYACAATAATTTTGACAGCCCTCTCCCCCTTCTCCCACCCTGCTATTTTTCTACCTCTTCACTTCTTGGTAGAGCTCATGCTTGCTGCAGTGGGGGACTTTGATGTAGCCGTAGAGCAGCAGGTGCTCCTTGGTAGTGAGGTAGTCAAAGAGCACGTTGTGCTGCATGCACACCCCCATGTTCTTCCTGATCACCTCCTGGTCAGTCCTGATGTCTTTGCCATACACAAAGATGGTGCCAGACGATGTAGGGAACAGCCCAGTCAAAATAGATCTGAAGGAAAAAGAAACAGAAAGGGGAAGTCAGAAAAAGAAGAAAGCCACGGGTAATTTTTTCATGCAGCCTTGTAGCTGTCATCACTGTCAAGGTTTCCTTGACATCCCACTCCTTCCAGCCAGACCCCACTGCCCATTGCATGTCCTGCTGCCCAGCYGTGCTCTGGCAGAGCAGAGGCCAATTAACATCCACAAACATCCCCTGTGGAATTGCAAGGACAAGCACCAAGCTCATCTCCCTWCTCCTCACCTCCCTACTCCTCACTTCTGCTTTGCCCTTCTCCAGCCTCCCTCTCCCTAGGTCAGATCACTGCATATCCCACACATCAACAATCAGGAATGCCCTTGACTTCCAAGTTAATTACTGGGAATTCATATAATGCAGCTGCTCTCTATTCTTTGAGGTTTGCCTGCAGCACCCAGACAGCCTCATATTGTAACCACAGCTGAGACTGAAAGCTACCTCTTCATCTGACTAACCCGAGCAGAGCATGGAAACCTGATTTCACTGCCATTATTCATGAGAAATGGGAGAGGACTTYGGGATGAGACACCTCACAGTGGGCAGCACTTTCATCTGGTTCAAGCAAATAATCACCCACCAAGCAAGAGCTGAGTCAAACTCCCTCTGCTCAGAATAACTGCTTGCACATTACAGCTCTTTTTGGTGCTGTCCTGCGGGGACTAAAGGGAARAGATGCATCTCAGACCGCCCTTCCCCTTTCCAGAGTTTCTCTCTCTCCTGGGACTCTTAACCATCATTAAAAAGCAGTAACTTGCGACCTTACTCAGGATTTGAAGCCGGTACTAAGTTCCAAGAAGGTTTTATACTTTTCTGCATATCACCTTTGCTACACTTTGCAAACAGGATATGAGGTGAATTGATAATAAGCTTGAGGCAAAGCACACATCTGTCTTACTAGTTTTGGCTCTTCTGAGGCTTCTATTTATCAGCTTAATGTTGCTTTCAGGGATAGGCACATATATATCAGTGGAGAAATCAAGTTCTACAGGTCTGTTTTAGTGCTGTTATCTAACAAGTCAAATAATAATTTATAAACAGCAAGGCTGAAAGGCCAATGCATTAATCCCCTGCCATTCCAGCCCAGCCAACACATGAGTCTGTACAGCTGAAGTGTATCTTTATTAAGTTTTCTTGCTAATATCACTTCAGCTTTGATGTGTGCACCAGCTCCCCACAGATTCCAGAACATCCTAACCYCAGGCCATGGAACAAAACACCTGAACAGTTGCTGTGCTGTGTGTCCCAGGTATCTCGCCAGATAAAAAGTATGGTCCTAAGCAGAAAAGAAACTTTTGGAACCTAAAGAATTCTAACAGATGAAGCAACTCCTGAGGTCCTACATGAGCAAAATAAAACCACATGAGGGATTTGGCCTAATGAAGAACCTTCCTCAATCTCCCACTGCTGCACAGCCCCACTYGCTGGTGAATACCCAACCACACCCCAGAGGATAAAAAAAGAGCTGCTTTAAAAGATACGCACATGGTTGTAGTTTTCCCAGCTCCATTGTGTCCCAGCAGGGAAGTGATATTCCCTTCATAAAAGTTGAGGCTGAGGTTGTCCACTGCAGCTTTGGATCCGTAAACCTTTGTTATGCCGTGGAGGGCGACTCCCAAGGTGAGGTCAGTGGGCTCCGGTTCCACGTGAGGGTGGGGGGCACCTTTGACATCAAAGAGAGGGGTCAGGGACAGTCACTGCAGCGCAGCAGGTGTTGTGCTACTTTTCTCCTCTCAGAGAAAACCAAAGTAGAGCAAAGGCAGGTGCCTTTCAGYCAGGAATATTGAGAACATGTCACCGGATTCAGAACGTTTTGAGCTCTCTGGTATTTCTCCTTTTTATTTCTGCAACTTCTAATAACCCCTGACAACAGGCATTAATCACTTCTGAAAAGGTCTCAYATTTAGGTACTTCAGAGCACCTAACTCAATTTACACAAAACAAGCACAGAAAATCAGAGGACATACAGCAAAACTACTGAGTTATTYTCAGTTAGGTGGAACCGGCAAGCTTTTATGTGTGATCTCAGCATTTTACAAGCTAAACATTTAAAGAGATAAACAAAGAAGCACATGTGCCCTTTGCCAAGTGGAAACCTRTATTTGCTTGCCCAAAYAAAAGTGTATTTCTACACAGAGAGACGAGGATGGAAGTTAACTGCCCAACTACAACACACATGAATATGCATGTGAAAACCAGTACTGACTCTCCGCAACAAATAGGAAGAACAAATATAATTTAAGGGCCAAATCTCCATTCATGTGAGTACCAGCTTTCAATTTTTCCTATGCTTCAAAATAAGGATCAATGGTGTTTTCTGCRTATGGTGCCCCTTTACAAATTTGGCTTTGTTTACCCAAAATRTAAGTTATTATTGCTACCCCATCAAGTATCCACATACATATCTTATTGGGGAGGGTGACTTCTTTCCTTAACATCAGCTTGGAGAAGAGCAGGCCTCTTTGTTTCTCATTCCAGAAGGGCAGGTAGGTGTTGTATTCAATCCAGTAAGATGGAAGCAGTGGGAAGTACCAGGGAGCAGCCATGCCATATCTACCTGTAGGAACAGGAGTCTCGTTCAGGTTCTGCTCCCAGGAAGCATCACTGTTGTGGTGCACTCAAAACGGCAAAAATTAACTCCACAGAGATTTCTTGATATGCTCACATACCACCAGAACTTGGTAGCGACTTTTTCTGGTTGGCACAATAGGAAGCCCTCACTAATTTGTTATTCTGAGTAACTCCATAGCTGCAGGGCAGGAGAACTTTACATTTTCCACTGGGTAGATTTCTGTACACCAGTGGACTGCTTCATTAGGTGGGGAAGAAAAGCAAAAGACAAATGTACTGGCTCTTGCCCAAGGCAGGAATTACTTTTTGAAACCAAATGATGTAAGTAACACAGCTCAAATCACTCAGCTGACAAATGCAGGCTAACATGCTCTGCTCTCACTCACACCCACCAGACTGCAATAACACCCTCCCGTGTCCTTGGCTTCAGTTTCTTCAGGAGAWCCACCTACTCATGTGAGAGGCTGAGAAACTCTAATTCTCCCTTGCTGTGCTCTCTCTCAATGCCATTAATAGGCTCAGACATTCACAAAGTCGTGCTCCCTTTGGTCTGGGACAGAGGTGTCCTGTGTGTGCCCCGTCTCCCTGGCTCCGCCAGCTCTGTGTTCATTGCTCTCCAAAAGAGGTGCCACAGCACCACCCTCGATGCTCTGTACCCTTACCTGGGAAAACATTCCTTATGTACCACCCCAGGATGAAGTAAATGAAGGAGTCTATCAGAATGAGCCAGCACATCCAGCCAAAGGAAGTGTTGTCTCCAATCATTGGCGACTTGTACATGTTGTCCCACTGCAGTCCTGCAGAGAGGAATTGAGAAACACAACCAGAATCCATCTCGGCCACTGAAATGCCACTCCCAGGAGAGCTCAAAGCCTGGCTTGATCTGCAATAAACTCACCTATGCCCTGTGCCTCGTAGCGAGCAATGTACTGACTTGCATAACTGAAAGCAGTTGGAGACAATAGACTCTGGGGAATAAACAAAATGGAAAACAAGGAACATATAAATTTGTCTCAAGGACAAGTCAAGTCAATCAGTCAATCAGGTACCTCACTGGTTTACTCCAATAGCCAGAAAAATCAGTGTTAGACTTGTTTTTTTTCCCAACAATCACAAGCAGCACTGGACCAGGCCTGTGAYGGTCAGTGCTACCTGGTGACACGCTGAAATGTCTCCTTAGAGCTCAGCTTCCTTTTGCTTCCACACCAAGGACGCAACTTCCTCCCTCATGCAGGGCTTTATTTTAGGCTTTTGAAATACMGCAGTGATGGAGAATTACCTCATGGAGCCATGTAGTAAATTATTTTACCACTCGCACAAATAGATGTCATTTCCTGAATTTGGTGACTCAAAGAAAACGAGTCTGGCTTCTGGAACCTAACACCTAACTTGCTCTGCCCCTCAGTAAGAAACAAGGCTTCACATCTTCTTCCATGGGTAGCAATTTGAGACACAAGAAGCTAAAGGATGATCTGAGGCAGCAGGGAGCAGAGCCAGCCCTGCTACCCAAACCCCTCACTGAGACAGCCTGGCTTTTCACAGTGGGTCAATTTTCCCATTTTCCTTTGCAGTTCCAAAGGGCACRAGACTGTGATTCAGCAGCCAGGTGGGAAGGCACTAAAATTCCACAAGCAGTGCCTTCAGTCACGGGATACAGCTCATTCCAGCTCTCCCTCAAACAGCCCCTGGCCAGCTCTCCTGCTGTGCCTGTCAACACCCACTGATTGAAGGTGCCCAACTCCCCTGTATTTGGGACAGGAGGTACAGTAAGAGATGGAGTGTACTGAAGGTGAGTCCCTGCCYCCACAAAGTGCCTGGAAATATGGAAAAGCAGGACTCACCAGGAGGCTTTTGACAGAGAAGCTCAAGTGGTTCTCGATGACGAGCAGCACGATGAAGGGGAAGAAGGTGAGGATGTAGACGAGGCTGCCCACCAGGGCTGCAATGTTGGTGTTGTTGAAGAAAACGCTGATGAAGTAGCTCATGGCTATGATGGACAGGCTGTAGTCCATCAGGTACAGGAACAGCAGTGCTGTGTCTGTTTTGGGAAGGATCTGACCCACTTTCAGAACAACGATGAGGAAGGTGACAGTAATCAGGAGGAAGATGGCGCACTCGATGAACCAGGCGATGAAATGGCTGCTGGCATTGACACCCATCATCTTCATGTACTACAGAGAGACAGGTGAGAAAAACAATCAGAAGTGGCATTTGAGAGAAATGAAGAGATCTTTCTGCCGATTGTGAATGATTTCTTTTTTCAGCTTCTGGCCAGGCTCGTTCTATCCAGGGAGAAACGACGCACTCCCATTTCAGGAATGCCCAAGGTTTACAAGGCAGTCTGTTGGAAAGGAACAGCACACACAGGACCTGCAAGGATCAAGAGTCACAGCCCACAAGCTCCAAAGCAGCTTCTGGCCTTAGATTTGTAACTTTTCTAAAGCCTTTTGGTTATTTTTTTAAATAATGATAATTGATCCGGTGACTTAAGCATAAAAGCTCTCAAGTATCTTTGAAACCAGACCTTTCTCACACAACCTCAAGACAACAAATAACAGCTAAATTACCATGGTTACAAGAAAGAAATATTAATTTATATTAGCTGATAATTAATTCCCCATACATGCATAAAACTGCAAATTTGTATCAATAAATCCAGCAGAACTGCAGATGCTGGTGTCTTCTTGTGGATTATTGCACAGCTAAAAAGATTTGTGATGCCCTGGTCCTTGGAGACAGTGAAAATCATTGCCTAAAATAGAGTAAGGGGCTGTCAGGGAGCACTCACTGGGGTTCACTCATTTTCYACCTCATCACAGGTCACAGTGTCCTTTCTTGGAAGTGTTTTTGGCGAATCAGTATTTGTTTCCATGGTGTTGGATAAAACCCAAATCTGCTCAAAGCCTTAGTTGCTTGCTGAAGCTTAGTTTTACAAAAGTTCTTTGCTGTTCATCTCTGTTGACAGTGATCACACTGAAAACCTGAGTTAATTTAATAAATTCCCAATGCCTCAATGTCATTTCTTTTCCAACAGACAACCTGAATGAAGAACTTCATTTCAGAGGAGCTGATGTAATATGTAGCACCTTCTGAAATATTAAGTATAATAACTTCAAGGATAGGAAATAAGTCACTTTTCATGTCTTTGTCCCCAGTAGGTATGACTCAAAGTCAATTTTTAGAGAGCTTTAAATCTTCAGAAACCCTGTAATTTTGTGAGGTGCCCATGTTTCCAGTGTTCAGAACTGCAAAGCAATATTCCCTCCACTTGAAGGGCAAACACCTCTGCATTTCCATGGCTTTGAGCTTGGTTCCAATGTCAGAATTCACACTCTGCAGGTCAAACAATAGGTATCTGGAATATTTTCCTTAATGCTTGCTTTGCTCCATTTATTACTGAACATCAGACACACTAGCCACTAATAAGGAAAATCTGTTTATAATTTTGCACGCCCCAGAAAGTTTCCCCTTACCTCATAAAGCCTCAGATCTTTCTCCTGAACAAGTGTTTTAACAAAATCAGCTATAAACAGCACCCAGGCAGCCATCAGAGCAAATGGAAGAGAGTAGGTCACGCTGGTTAAGAACCTGTAAAAGGCAAATGCAGGCTTTAGCTGAATACATAATGTTCTGGGGATTAAGGCTTTATACAAGAATATATTTTTCAGAACAATACTTTGGCACAGRAAAAAGACATGCTTATATATTTCAAAATGTGGAGTAAAATCAATAATTAAAAAGAAAAGACTCCTTTGCCATTGCATTGGATTTTCTATTCAGGAAACTTCTGACTGCTCAGAAGCTTTTTTCTTTTTTAAGTTGCAGAGGGATTTCCTYGCTCAGCAGCACCACTGGCAGGAGCAGGAAGCGCCACAGGCAGTGGCATCTCCTGGCTCTCTGATGGGCTGCATTCCATTTGGAAACATCCCAGCAACCAGTCATAATTCCCAGTTCTGTTCATAAATATAATTATGATAATTTCGTTGTCAGGCCTTATTTCCTAGTGTTAGAGTCTGGATATGGGTGCTTTCCTACAGATTGTCTGTCCCACCATCCCACAGGACAGCCACTGCAGATCCAGGTCACATTCCTTGGCTCCTCACTTTAATTATTTCAGTGCCAGTKTGTGCAGGAAAAAAGATAACAACAGTCAACAATAAACTTCTCCTTTTGCAATGGAAAGCAAGATTTTATAGCAGGAGATTCCCTTCATTGCATCTGTAGGGCTCATGCTTTCCTCCTTAATTTCTARACCTGGCTTTAAAACCATCATCAGTGTTATTCCTGGAAAAAATATAATGTACAATAATAGTGAGGAATTTGCATTATGTATGTTTTAAWTTTTTTTTACCTGTGTAGCTCAAAATTTCCTACAAACCAGAGCTTCTAGAAATGCCTCCATGCAAATGAAGCCTTATTTATAAAGACCCAGGAAAAGGTATTCCAGGCTCCTAAAAATTCAGCATATCCCAACACCTCTTGTGTACTGGTGTATATATACATGTATATATTTCCACCTTTTCTCTGCAGGATGATAACTGTGCAGTAACAATCAATAAGCAGGCATTTTGTGATGACTTCTGCTGGATGCAAATCCAAAGCCTTGAGGAATTTTAATAATTGAGCAAAGACATCCCTCTGAACCCAGGGTGGGGAGGGAAACCCGAAGGCAAGTGGTTTTCCCAGCAACCAAAGAACAAGAACAGGAGCAGCCACACCAGAGTAAGTGCTTGCAGCAGCCAGTTAATCACTGTTCAAAACTCTCTCTCAGCAATAACCCAGGAATTTGCTGCAGAACTGGGTTTGGATGATTCCTGCCTGTCTCCTGGCAGGCACCTCACATGTTGCTGCCCCAAGGAGAGGTTATAGGCCCCCAGCTYTCTTAAGTGACAGCTGACACAGGAGATTATGGGTCTGCTATGGCTWCTAAATGATATTTTATAGCTCTCAAATAATCTTTTGGCTCCATGCAATTTGCATGGAGGTGTTCAGCAGAAAAAGCTCCTAGGTCCAGTCTGTCCTTTYGCTGCAAGGGAGACCCTCAAATCAGGGCACAATGACCCTCACACCTACCAATACTTCTTGCTGAACATATGCTCCAGTGCTCCCTGATGGACAATGAAATCCCTTMCCTGAGTCTTTTCCACTCACTTTGRCCACCATAAAGCTCATAAACCTAAGGACCTTTGTTTCCCAATAAATCMATTTTCTAAGTTCTGCTGCACTGTCTGCATGTAAATACCTGAAGAACACATCAAAACTCGTGTTTAACCCAAGTCCTGCCAACTCTCAATCCCACCATGTGTAGTAAAATAGGGACAGGGAGTTTTACGTGCTGTAATACCTACAGTTACCATCACAATCCAGGTATAAACAGCACCAAAACCAAAAGATTTGGCAAATTAAACAGACCATCTTAGAGTCCAAAATTCCCTCTTTTGTTCAAATCCTTGGGAAAAAACCCCAACCAAACAGAATTAAATTATYTTTATGCTACATGAGCATGGCATTAAGGAAAGCAGCACAGCTGGTGAACTCCACCAGACAAGACRAGTTGACACAAAGCACGAAGGCAGAAGCCATCTAAACTTACATATCCTTGTTGTAGCAGGGATAAGGCATGGCCTGGACCTGAACAGCTATTTCCTCTGGTTTCTTGCCAGTCTGCAGCTCAATAATGGCCCTTTCAATGCTGTCCTGGATGTAGATAAAGGCCCGGCTGTAAATCTGGCTCTGCGAGGTGGAGTTGTGCGGGCCCACGGTCCAGATGCGCTCCCGGATCCTGTTGGTGGTTTGAGTTATCCTGCTGCTCATTCGGATGGTGTAGTTGAGCACAGGAGGGAGGGACAGGCCCCCATGAACTGTGTGCTCAGGGCTTGAAGGCAGCTTGAAAATGATACCTGGGGAAAGAAAGGGGAAAGGCTTTCCTTTGGAGCACACACACAGGTAAGTAGGAGCTCCTCATTTTTATAACCTTTCTTCACAGAAGTTTTTCTCACAGAAGTTTTTCTCTCAGAATATTTGTCCTGATTATTCCATATATAAAACACATGAGAGAATGGAGAACAAACAGAAGAAAACTGCTATTATGAGAATGGACAAATATTACCAGGGCTTGAAATTCCAAGAGAAGCAGAAGTTCCTATCYACCCCTCAGTTATGAGGTATAAAACCAAAGAGACCACAGGGCTTGAGATATAAAACCAAACASATCACAGGGCTTATGAGTAAATCATAATTGAGGTTCTCCTTTAAATATTAAGATATATTAATTATTCAAATATAAGTTCCTATTTCCTGCTTGCTCCACACCCCTCTGCGGTCTGATCCTACAATCCAATCCCACAAATGTGAAAAGTGTTACTGAAAAGACCCAGTATAACATTATGATGCTTGGCTGGAATATCTCAAGCACTTTATGACTTTCTAATAAATTGAACTGTCTCATATTTGGACTTGATGACCTTAAAGGTCTTTTCCAACCCGAATAATTCTGTGAAAGCTTTCTAGATTAAAGCACCTTTTCCCCTGGGAGTCTGAAAGAAAGCGGCTACACAAAAATCACCTTAAGGTGGTGGGATTTTGTTCAAACTGAGAATTAACCAAGAGAAATCACCAGCTGACCATAGACAGTGGAGGTGTAAGGGAAGAGGAGATATGAAAAGGAGGTCTCAGTGTGCAGGTCCCACACACACCTGTTCCAAATCGACATCTGTGTGGTGGGAGTGTGACCACCAAGAGTTGGTGGCGCAAAGCCAAATGTTTTATGTTGCACTCCCACACTCTATCATGCTAAATTTAATTTACAGGGGGATTCCAGACTGTCACATACTTGCAAACAGCTCATTCTTCAGGAAGAGCTCCTTAGCTACCGCTTCCATCTCATCCAAATTCTGCACTGGCTGAATGCGGTTAAAGGAGACACAAGACGACACGTTCACAGCCAGAGTGGCCAAAGTGTTCAGCTGCTCGACAACATCAGCGTTGTTCTGCAGCTCCAGCCAGATATCATCTAGGGAAAAAACCCACAAACCCATCAGTATCACTACACCCAGCAAAAAATCCACTCCACCAGTCCACTCCTTTGCACTAACGATGACACTAGAAAGGAAGACAAAAAAAGAAAACAAACCCCATCATCCTAGAGATGAAGTGTGAAATACGTTTCTGCACTCAGCAGTGCAATGAAGGCAGGTTGTTGACCCAGTTTTTATGTTAATCATTTGTAATATGCTTGTGAGTTTGCCTTTGGGAGGATGCCAGCCACGGGATGTGACAGCCATCCCAAATCAGAAGTCCCCACTAACATGCTGAGGTTTTAGGTTCGCACTTGGTGCTCACCATTCCTTCCACAGCCTGTGGTTTAGGATGCAATCAACTCGCCTGTTGAGCTGCCGGGTCTCAGGGGAGGACGTGCTTTATCCAGCACATCAAGGCAGAGCTGTGTGTGCTGTGCTGATGTGTGGACTCAACCTGATACTGCAGTTAATAAAGATGCTGCTGTTTGCTGGCAGGTTTCAAAGGCGGCCGCATAATGCAAGGCAACTAATATGGAGCAGCTGCTGCAGGCACCGTGGCTTTACCGGGAGTTAAGGCAGGAGTTGTTGCTCATGAATAACACACGGGTCGTCACCGAYTGCGTGTAAATGACTGCAACAGACCATAATGACTCTTGGCTGCTGCTGGGTTTTGCTGCACGGTCCTGATTTATGTTGACATGCACGGCCATGACCACTCATTGCAAAAGCAGGCAGGGAGACAAGACCAGGAAGGAAGGGACTGCGATCCCCACTCCCTGCACTCTCAGGGGATGCAGCCACCACTACTGTCAGCTGGTGATTCTGACAGTGCACAGCAGCAGCTCTTCCCTTAAAGGGCCTTGGAGGCCCACCAGAGATCAGCAAACTGCAGCAGAGCATCTCCTGCACTGATGCCTCCGGCCCCAGCAGCCTGGGTACATTTATCTGTTCCCYGGCTTTTCTGCTCTGGAGAACTTTTGAACCTTGCTGCGATGCAAAGGAGCTCTCCACAACATTTCCCAGCAGAGCCCCAGGTAGCTCATTTGAAGTCATAATTACGGCTAAACAGTGTCCTCCAGTGGCCACAGACCGCGGCAGAGGCTCCCGTCCCACCACCCCTTAACACCCAGGAGAGGCATCCCTCCACACCAGCCCTTTGCATGCCCAGAGTATTTTCCCTGGAAGATTTCTGGATCACAGCTGGGATTGCCTTGYCCTGGAGCCTCCAACAAGGGCCAGAGAAGAGAAGGACTAGGGGATGGCTGCAGCTGGGTGACTCTGGGGTCCCTGAAGTACAAGTAAGGAAGAGGGCAGCACATATGGACACACTTACCCAGTTCATTTATCTCACTCAGGAGCTCAGCTGCATCCAAATCCACCATCAGCTTGATAAAAACCTGCACAAAGGGATTCTGCAGGGCRTTCTATCAGCAAGCAAAGAAAGAAAAGGCATCAGTTTGATCAGAAGCCTCCTGAGCTAACTCACTGCATATTTCTAAAATACAACTGAACAGCTGCCTTCACTGAGCACTTGCAGCCCCCCCTTTCTACTCCCTTCATTCTGAGTCAGGATGGGGAAAYGCCAGCAGTGAAAATGTCATAGAGAGCTCTCTGAGTCCAAGCTAGTGCTCCTCTGAATCAAGAAAGRATGCCTACGGAGTCTCCACCAGGCACTAGTCCCATGAAAAAATCAGGGATAATCTTAGTTATTCTCAAAGTAAATTTYCCTTGTGTCTGTTTTAAGCCATGTGAACACAGCCAGAGCAAAATGGCTGGGCAACCAAAACTTTACTTGGAGATCAGCACAGGAGATTCAGCCAAACAGTTTTTGTTTGGCTAAATATTTTATTATTCCACCAATGAGTGCAATCAGCAGATAATATTTAATTTCACTTTTGCATATTCCASTATGGATTTTCTCTCGGTGCCATGGAAATTAGCACAAATTCTAGCCCCCAAAATTAACTTCTAATGCTTTTGGGTTCCAGGAATCTCATTTTTGTAAGAAAAGGYGACAATTTTTACTACAGAGAATGGGAAATAAGTGTGTGTAACCTTACAGTCTACTGCTTTCTGTATCAAAGCAAGGCTAGGCTCTTTAGGAGGGGGAAAAAGCAATTTTATTTACATTCACTGAGGTACAAAACATCTTCTAGCTCTTATGTGTGTACCCACCACTACATGCTTATTATAGATACTGTTTCATTTTCTGAAAAAGTCATTTCTTGCCTGGTCTTGGCTGGCTGGATCACTCYATCAAGCAGAAAGTTAATTTACAAACTGAAGAGTGTTCCCTGCTCATCTCAGCCCTCCAGCAGGTCCCAGCATGGCCAGGGTCAGGGAGCATATTACAAACAGATCATTTGAGAAAGAGAATTTGCAGGGAAAGGTGAGGCAGGAGCACTTCTGTTAAGGGAACAGGCAGGCACAGAAACTGTGAAGTCCAGGATAACCTGAGAAGGGTCTCCCCAGCTGACCTAAGATGTCCCTGGAGCCCCAGTTTAYTTCAGTGAGCAAATCCATCCTCCCAGCTCCCTCCTGGCAAGAGAGARAGGGGCGGTAGGAAGTCATACCTTGATCATTGGAACTGTCTGGTTTAAGTTAGTCAGTGAATTCATGATGACAGGAGACTGGTCCAGCCACTCCTGGGACTTCAGGGCTAAATCTGCCATCTGCTCCAGGGTTGCATTAGACTACAAAAGAAGCCCACAACATATAAGGATTCATTTATTCATCACCTTACAGAATTTAAACAATAAATAAATCAATGAAATAGCTGAGACCAAATTTGTTTTCCTTAGGATTTTTCCTAAGCATCCTCTGACTGTTCAGTAAAATGCCYCTTAAGATGCTGAATTTGATGTAAGTACTTAAAAATATTATACTTAGAGCATGTATTGAATATTAGCTTTCCTTCTAGCACTGGTCTGCTTGTGAACAAGCACTGGTTACAGTATTTGTCCTGGGAGTTATATCTCTCTTACTGGCTGAAAATATGGGGGTGAAACTTCATCAACTGAAGGCCTTAAACAATTGTCCTATAAATATTAGACTAACAGCAGCTTCTGGAAGAAAGATTCATTCAAAACAAAAGATGACTCATATGGCTAGCAAGGCAAGTGGGAAAATAACTTGATTAATACTCCAAACAGTGAGAAAGCAGTCCTCTGCTTCCCAGAGAAACAAGCCTGTGCTAGATAAATTACAACCCTTTGGAGTGGGTGTATCCTGACGTCCTGGAACAGAGTCGTACCTTTCCCATGATTGCCCGAGTTTCTGGGGTATCTGGTGTGAAAAGGATCTTCCCAAGCACCATTGGCTTCAAAAAAGACCAAATTAAAGCTCCAGTYGGGGTCTTGACCAGGTCCAGGTAAAAGGATAAGCAAAACGGTGCTGCAAGGGTAGAGAAGCAAACAAATTGCACAGAGAACAAATAGACCAGACACAGCAAAGCTACCAGYATGTTTTTTCTCCCATCCGCCCTGTTTGTTGCTGTGTCCAGTGAATGACTTCAGGGCCCTCTTCACTGACTGATCTAATGCATCCTGACAAAAGCAATCCACCCCCAAGATCTCCTGTTGCTGAACTCAAGACAGCACGAGCCTCACTGCTGGAGCCAACATTATCTGCTTGAAGGTTAAATGGAGTTTTGAGAACTCAGAGGAGCTAACAATGTCACTAGAGTCAGAAAAACTACACATCAAGAGAAAGCAGTGACCTGTCGAGCCCTAGGACCAGATCATCAACAAATGGGAGACAGTGCAGTGTCAAGCACTGCYGTGCTGCACAGGCAGTTTCCCTTTGAACATTTATGGAAATAAAGCACCAATAATTAGGGCAGTGCAGATCTTCAGCCACCATAAATAATGAGCACTTGCAGCCCTCAGAGACATATGGGGAATAGCTCAGCACTAGRTCTGTCTGGAACGAGCAGAGTTCGGCTCTGAAATGTTTGTGCCCTAGGGAAAAGCCAGACTTACTGGAATCCTGAGGAATCCCATATTTCCTCATCAGCTTTTGGACATAGACATCCTCTGCATTAGAACTGTTGCTTATGGGATCTCCAAAGTCTGGAAGCAAAGACTCAAAAAACAGGGGTGTGATCTCCTGGTTGCAGAGGACTTTTGACATAGATTTAAATGTGCCATGTGTTAYCTTGAAGTTGTTTGGTTTAAGCAATGCCTGCAGAAAAGACAAAACACAAATAAATCCTGCATGTTGAAAGCACCCCACTCTGAGAGAAATAACAGAATGAGAAGGCAAGGAGCGAGCATTTTTATACTGCTTTCTGAAAAGTTTGCCTCTACAAAAATAGGAACTTTCCATGGAAATCATGCATTTTTTGGCTAACCTCTGCTATGACAGAGGTGGCAAATTTATTTGCAGGTGCGAGTGCCAATGTGGGAAGTGCCCACAATGTGTACACAGAAATTCCCTATAATGTGTGGCTGGTGACACACACACACACCTGGGTTACAACACAGGATTTGTCACATGGATGTGCACATCCCCTGTCCCCATCAAGCCAATGGCTGCACGTGGCTCTGCAGTGTGCAGGCAGAAGGGGACCAGGAATGATTCCTGTTATCTGTGCTCTCCTGGACTATGGATCAGACAGGGATTGGACACCATGCTGGATGAAGGCAGTGCACCCTGGAGTTGCTGCAGCTGTCAGAGCAGTAATGGGTTTGTACTGAGTGTTTCGGGCAGTCTCAGGGCTTTCGTTGTGATCTAATGCACACTAAAGCTGAGGCAGTTTTTTGCTGCTGACTTTGGTGGTTTTGCCTTCAGCGGGCAGTTCTCCAGCTGCTTTCACCAGCTGATCCTTCCACTATTTTGCTGGTAGTCCTCCCTCCTTCAAGGCATTCCTGCTCCAAGTGTCTCTCTTCCACAGCATCTGTTCCCCACTCATGAGCACATGATGGTCCCACTACTCCAAATCAAAGCTCTCCCAGGAAGGCAACACAGAATCACAAAATGGTTTGGGTTGGAAGGGACCCTAAAGCTCATCTCATTCCAGCTCCTGCCATGGGCAGGGACACCTTCCAGAAGCTCCATCCAGCCTGSCCTTGAACACCTCCAGGGATAAGTTTGATAAGAGATTCTTCTCAGGACATCGTTGTTTTAAAACAAAATCTATGGTTTAATGCCCCTGTGGCTTCTAGGGTAAGAAATGACTGTGGAAACCATTCCAGTGGTATTTTGCCTCAAAAGCACATGCAGACTACACATACCTTAGTCAGTGGCATTTTCCTGGACTGCCGGAGCTTTTTCAGGGAATGAATAGCTTGTAGCAATGGATCAATGCCAGATTCAACCTGGTGTGTGAAATATTTCATTTTTGTCAGAAGGCCTAACATCTTGTCCATGGGCTTCTGAAGTTCCTTGGGGAAAAACATCTGCAAGAGGCAGGAAGAAAATCAATCATGATGAGCAGGAATCTGCGTGCACAAGCACGAACACGCCCATATTGTGTTAACTCAAACATGAGCACTGTGGGATTTTCAAAAMTGTTCAGAGGCTTTACAGAGTGGGTGTCCCATGGGAAATGAATGGGATTTGTATTCCTAAATCCCCAAGTGCTTTTGCAAACCACTCCCCTGAACATTACATAATCTGAACAGTGCATATTTCCAAACACCTATGATTGGCAAACGTGTGTCAGACACTGGCTGGGGTACCATCAAGTCTCTCATTTCACACCGCACAGGTGTCAAACACTATGAGTGACATTTGACCTGAGCCCAAATTCATTGGCATTCTCATTTAACAACTTTTTTATCCCAGGATCATTCCTGTATTTTTAAATACATGCTCAGTAATTCACTCCTCCATGAATGTTCTCTTAAATGCTGTTTCTATACTTGGGAGGGGACATTTGAATCATTTAATAACTYTGTAGTTCCAAATAGATAGGGAAAGGATATTTTATAGGACTTTTCCAGGGCTTTCCTCTTCAAGGGATTAAAAAATTTAGCTCAGTGCCTTATTTTTGGGTTAGCTGGGAATGTTCAAGAGGTTGTGACAGCACATAAAGGATACTAGCAGATAGGGAGGCATTTAGAGTAGGTCCAGTGCCTTTAAATGAGGTTTGCTGSTTTACACCAGCTGGGATTCTCATTTATTTCCACACTGTCACAGCATGGATATGCAATAAAAATTGCTGCATGAGCAAAGCCTGATCTTTGGCTTGTGTAAATCAGTGTAGCTTCTGGCCACTGCAATGATATTTTACGACCTTTCAGCCACTGCGTGCAGCAAAGAATGTAGAAACYACTCTAAAAATCCAGCACTAACCTTGTATAAGAAATTGTAAATGTCCAAGTGTCTCAGYAGAGTGACCCCAAGGAGGTAGGTCCTGCGAGTCCTCTCTGGCAGGGGGAGGCTGCAGAAATCCTGTGCCACCGTTTGCAGCTGGGGGTCAGCGGGACGGGAGCTGCAGGACTCCAACTGCAGCATCTGAGAGATGAGCTGGGTTTGCACAAAAAKGAGAAGAGATTTGTTAGAGGTGCACTGCATGCTTCACCATGCATGGACTAGCCTTGCCTTGCTGTTGTTCTTTGCACAGTGCTGTATTTCAACCGCCCAAGAACCAGAAAATGCCTACCCATTACTCCCCCTCCCAGGGACAAATCCTAAGGACTGTGTTTTACTACCCAGATTGCACAGTAGTAAAAGCTTTTGTGGYTTCCATTTCTCATTGATTGATGCACGTGAAATTGGAAAAGAGCATGCTCTTTGGGGCCCAGGCCAGGCAAGACGACTGGAAAGTGGAAAAGCATCGGGAGCTCTGCTTGTGCTGGAGGTTGAGGAAGGGAAGCTCATCTCTCATTCTGGGAGGGTGTTTTTGGACCCCGAGCACTCTCACAAGTTGTGGTTACAAGTGCATTCTTCCACCTGGACCAGGACAAGTCCTCAGTGACCAGGATGTGCCTGAAGACCCTGCTCAGACCCCATTAATGTRTCCCAGAGAGCTGTGCCCTGCTCTAGATCAGAGCAAGCCCTCTCCAGGCAGTGTCTGGCTGCTGGTGACAGCCAAAGGGACCATATGGCTCCCAGTCTCCAGTGGCTGGGCTCCAGTGATGCTCCTACTGCATTCCTGGTGACTATTCCAACCCATAACATGCTCTGATGTCTGTCCCTGTGGGGTCATCTGTGCTGTCACACACCCAGCAATCTGCTTAGCTGCCTTCACTATAAAAAATTCTAGTTTTAATGGTCTGAGCAGTAGAAAGCAACAAAATCTCTTAAGAGGATAACAGCAAGCTTACCTGACTACTGTTTTCTGGGAAAGATGCTTCCAGAAGAGCATCAATGCTGGCTGTGGACATTCCCACTGTGTTTTTGAGATCTTCTTTGAGCTGGTCCACAYTTTTAAACACATCTCTTAATTTTTCTGTAACAAACAATCAAAGAACAACCAATGAAACAGCTTTCTCCAGACACATGGCAAATCTCAACCACACAGAGAAGACTTTAACTGAAGTACAGAAGTGTGCTATCTCACTGCTGATAAGAAAAAAATCCAACAAAAACTTGGAAAATAGTCATTATTTCCTAGATTTTACAGTCTGGTTTGTGGGCTGAAGTTATCACATYTCAGGATAGCAAAATCTGCTCAGATAGAAAGACTTGCTTCTTTGTAAAGAAAACAAAGTGGTTTTGAACAGGCTCTAGAAGTACYCCAGATAAAGGATCCTGAGGACTGGGATGGTTACTTCATTAATATCACATTTTCCTGGCAGCTAGGCAATTCTTAGGATTTMCAGCAGAAAGTGTGGTACCAGTTTACCAACATTGTAAAGTAAACACAGAAGAGTACCTTGCTTACTGGAGTCTGTTAAACTCTCAGTGCTGTTCAACATGGAACTCAAAGTACCCATGTACTGAGGAATCTCTTGAAAGAAAGCAATTTCTGGTACACTTTCTTGAAGCCTGAAATGGAAAAACAAAACAACAAACAAAACTGAGAATATAAAGAGAAGGCAAGAAATCATTTCATGAAGAGAATACTAAAACAATCTAGCTTGGAGGGAGAGCCTCACCACTTCAGCTGTGCCTGGATGTCTGTGGCATCCCCAATCAGTACWTTCTGGAGCTCCTGGGAGATCCTCCTGTGATTCAGTGCATTGGTCACAAGCTGGCTGCTCAGCTCAGCAGCACGGAGGAGCTGCTCCTGAGATTGGCCTTGCTCACACAGCTCCCCAAAGGGAACCTCGGGCAGGTGGCAGAGGCGCTGGATTGACTTAAAGCTCTCGTAGTCACAAAGAAGTGCTGTCAGATCCCGGAGGCGAGAGATCTTCAAAGGGGATTTTGAAAAAAGGAAGACAAATGCACAAACACCAGTTACATGACAGAATTACAAAAGGCAAGCTTTAAAGAGTCTAGCTATCCCTTTCTGTCTCTCCATATGACTAAGATTTAAAAATATATATATTTTTAGTTCATTCAAAAGGTCTCCAACAGAACAGCTGGTAACAATCATTATGTGTCTTCTGGCAGACCTGGCTGGATCTAACAAACCTTGCAAACCTTAACACATCATTTTCCCTGCCCAACACATAGACAACATTGGACTTGCCTGTTTACTAATTATTCTTCCCAGAGACCAAATAAATCTACCTTGCACAACAGGTTTAGCCTTTCAGATACCACCTGGTCATCTACTACAGCACAGGAAAGAGACTTGGCCAGAAGTCAGAGCTTCCTCATCTGCCAACCCGTGTAAAATTATAGTCCTTTGCTATTAAGGGCTTCCCTATTGTCTGACATCATTATTTACATGATCAGGCTCTTATGGGAAGAATTATTTTGAGGTTTATGTCTCTAAGTACCTGTCACACTGAGGCTCATCATATTATTGTTACAGATATATTACCCAGCAACAACATTGCATACTGCTGTATTTTTTTAAAAGGACTTTAAAATGCTATTTCTCATACGGAGCAATAGGCTAAAGTACACACGTGCTATTAGTGCAGGAATGAATGCATGGGGTAAGAAGCCTTTTATTCAAATGAAGCATTGCCAAACCCAGAGCTGGTGATGGAACTCCATAAATCAATACTGGTGCTTAATCTCAGAAGCCATTCCGGTGTGGTGAGACATCTGGAGTTACAGCAGCATGTGGGGACTTGACTCCAGCCATGCTGGGATTGGTACAGCTCCTCAGGCACAGTGGTAACCAGGTTAGCCATGCTTTTAACTGCCAATTAGGAATGCACAATTCCATGGATTTTTAGCAGGGCAGAGGTTATCTAATCCCTATCTGTGCCTCTGAGAACTCCTCTCTTCCTCCTCCTCAAGTGAAGCTGAGGCATCCCAGACTGATCTCAGCTTTGCAAGGTGCTTCAGGAAGTCTTCATACACCRAACTTTAAAACTACTGGTGCACTGAGGAATATGCTGCCACTGGCCATCTCTGCAGTGCTCATCSTTTAGGGATGGCTGGTGGAAAACAGAGCCACCCTATCCAGGACATGGGAGGGCGGGAACACCTCTACCTACTCTGAAAAATGGGTGCACACCTGATAGGGACTGATACAAGAACAAGTTCCGCAACCCAGTTTACAGGTGACCTTCAAATATAGGCAGCAGACAGAACACAGAGTTTCAGTCCTAGTTTTTATCAGGACTGTTCTTTTAAGAAAACTTTTTTCCATATGCTGTTTTTCCAAACTACGATTGCACATTCATGTATCACTGCAGGATGTCCTTCAAGTCAGCATTTTAAGCRGACTCACTTTTAGCTTCAGGAGCTCTGGTATGGATGAATGTTTCTCAGAGGTATTATTTTGCATAAAAGAGTTCTTTTTCAGATGAGTTTGCTTCAAAAGCAGTGTGATGTTTTCTGTGCAGGGGAAAAAAAACAATAGTTACTCCAGACAGAAACGCCAGAAACTTCACAGATGGGAATATCAGCACTTTTATTCTGAGGCCAACTGAGCATTGCTATTTTCCACCCAACTCCCGCAGCTGAGACCTCTGAAATCAMAGAGCAAAGCCTAGGATGTAGTCTGGATTATAATGGATCCAGTTCAAGTAGGTTCTCTGTTCCTAATGAAATCCACTCCATCCTGGTAACAGGACCCTCAGAGCACTCTCTGTGCACAGGTAAAGCCTCTCAGGTGTTACAATAAGAAGAGTATCACCAACTTAAATATCTATGTAAAATACCGTGTTAACTCTCAGAAGTAATTGCTGTCATCTTACAGCTACATAAAGCTGTGAAGGGAAATAGGTTTCTGTTTGTAAGATTGCTTTGTCTGAGTGTCAGCCACCTGTGATCACACAGAGAAGAGGAGATGTGCCTTCTGGAGGGATTGGGATGGAAACTTCAAATTGCAATGTGACATAACTCAAACAAACCTTCCCCAGGTCCCACAGCTCCAGTTAATTGCCAGCAGATAAAACCATGGAGCACCATTCCTTCCCACCATCAGACAAAACACAGGCAGGACACATTCCCCTTGGCATTAATGAAATCATGATCACCTGTCAATTCCCCGCCTTCAGCTTCCGTGGCATTTATTAAACACATCAGGTAAGGGTTATAGCTGTTATTCGCTGTCACCTGCAAGATGGTATTTTCAAATTCTAAAAACAGGAATCTGAAAAATAAGATAGGAATTTAAATCAGCTTCTCTTTCAGAAAAAAAAAGGTATATTAGTGAGGAACCTGTCAGCTGTGGATGCTTCTCCTTGGCAGAGTAAATAAGAATTCCAGATGAAAGCCATCTCTCCTAAGTGGGTACCCTCCCAGTTTTATTCCATCAATTCTTTTTGCTGTTATCTCCCAAAGCTGTCATTCACTCTCACAATAAGAAAACACACTTGAAAGGCTGGCTGTGGATGCATTATGCAGATGGAAAGACACACCTAGGGGAGACTGAGGATCAAAAATTAGAGAATCATACCGCAAAGGAAGGGTTTCCAAARAGCCTACCACTGATGGCAAGACTCCTTCAGGACTCTGCTCCACTGTGAATTGTTATGTTTCAACACACAATTTTTTTGAAAGTTTGACTTTCAGCTGTTTGTTATGYTCAAGGAGAAGCTTCCTTTTCTTCCATTTAACCCACTTTACACCTCATTTTCTAAATTATGGTGATTGCAGGCTTATATTGTTCCACTAGAAGAAAATTTCCTACTTCTCATTCCAGAATGAGACCAGTGGTCACAACTTATCCAYGCAACTACAGCACTCAAACCCCAAACTCACCGTGTGATCAAGCTGGCTGGGGACAGAGTGTGGTCACTCTGAGTCCAAGACAGGCTCTTGTTGTAAAGGGTGTCTGCCACGACGATGAAGTGATGAGCAATGATATCAATCACACTGTCAAGACTGGTTTTGTTGGACAGAAAAGCTGTGCTGGAACTTAGATTGAATTCATTYAGCAGGCCAGGGATGTTCAGCCCCTTGAGAATGTACAGGGTGGCTTCTGTGATTTCTAGAGATGACAGATCGCTGGCAGAGTCGCTTGCCACTGCTTCCAACAGCCTTGCAAGGGAAGCTCCTTCCGCTGGATTCCCCTTGGTGCTGAGGAAGCTGTCAAACACATCCCAGACTTTCATGTAGTAACTCTCCTTGGTGGAGTTCAAGGTGCTGTGGAGCCTCTGCAGCAGTTTGTGGAGCCCMTCCTGTGCCACACCCAAGAGTGTGGTCAGGTTATTCCAGCCTGTTGCACTGTCAGAGAAATTCAGGGAGCTCAGCACC